GAAATAATAAAAAAAAAAAAACCAAACAATAGTCTCGAAATATGATATTACTAACTTTTGAATTTTTTAGATCATCCGGACATAACGCTTGTGTGCCCACATCGGATATACGTGCCATTAGAAATAATGAATTAAGTCCTTAGATAGAATCCGCAATGAAGAAGTAACATTATTCATCGAACATTACTATCTGGAAATTTAAAATTGTAGTCTAAATAATTATTATTCTATTTTAATAATTCATTTAAAACTCATATTTTCATAAACAAGTCGTCTGTTTCAATTGTCTTTCAACTGTTTCAAAAAGTCAGTGTGACAATTAAATTTAAAAATTTTGCAATAAAACAAAAATTATAATTCCACATTTTTAATTAGCAGATTACAAAATAATGCTCTAACTGAATTAATTGACTTGTTTTTCTTAATGTTAATTTCATAATAATAAATTTATCATGGCGGTACTTTTAATTAACAGAAAGCAAAAATCAGCGAAATTCTCCTGTGAGTGTAATTAAATATTTGAAATATATATTTTCACTTAAATTCAGTACTAGACTATGTATGCATTTTTTCAATTTATAATTTTCCCAAAATTTATTAGTATTAATCAAATTTTAAGCAGTCGCAGATTCAGAAGAAATTTTTGAACGGGCCATTTAACTATTTCTGTTAAAGTGAGAGCTATTTTCTAGCTTTTTATATATTAATAGAAGACTTTTTTTTTTGAAGAAAAAAAATTATAATTTTGGGGTCATTGCTTCTATGGATCCCTTTGTATCTGCTCCTGGTTCCAACTAACTCAGGGTTTTATACCCAAGAAAACCATCTTATAAAAAACAATACTAAAAAGCATGATCAATGCTAACAGAATTAAACTGTGTCAAAAATAAATTATGTTTTGCTTTAAGTCTGAGAATAATGCCAAAAAAATGTTATACATATATAATTTTCCAATATTACAACAACATTTGTCAAGTTTATACGGATGATTGAATATTATGCTGTAAATTCGGATTCGCGTTGGTTATAACAGAGAAGAAATATATTACCAAAAAGAATTGGCTGTATTTGCCCAGAGATATTGCTTTTTGATTCCGGAAACCGTGTGTGTATTTCTATGAATGCGCTTGTATATATCATAGCGATTGTATCGATAAACAATTCAGTTGGTAGGAAATGCGGAGAGGGAATCGTTTTACAGAGCTTCGAGGCATGTATAATGTATATATACAACTCACAGGTTTGGTTCAGGTGAAGAACGAGGGAAACGTTATAATGGGCTGTTTCCCGAATCCCTTCCTATAAATTTCCTGAACCTTTTCAATTTCTTTTCTGTGGTCGGTGCATTTAACCTAAACATAATCGCGAATATAGAATATAATATTATAAAGCTATTTCTTATATATATCTTTGCTTTAATAAATATTACTAGTCTATATATTTTTTGTATCCGATAGAAATATTGTACCTATGAAAATGTGTTACGCTTTAGTATTTTTAACTTACAAAATCTATTCAACACACATGATTTATTACCTTCTTAAATATTTTAATTGTTTTATTTGAAATACTAAAACGTATAATATATGCAAAAATAAAGCGAAAATGCTGGGACTGCTGAAACTATGTTACGCTCTCAACACATTAGAGTAAATAATCATTTTATTATTATTATTAATGTATTATTTAATATTAATATCATTTTTCATCAAATGAAAAAGTAATTTTCTTATTTATAGTAAATTAGGATGGAGGTGCTCCAGCACATCTAACAATGATGCTAGTTACGTCCATAAATATATGTTTCAGTATTTTAAATAATAATTTAAAGCATTCTATGATTTTAATAACTATCTAATACAAAAAATATTTCATTTAAATACATATATTAGAACAATTTACGGTTGCCCATAATAATTGATTTTCAATAATTTTTCTCAATCAAACAAAAATAATATGAAAAATGTTTGCTTAAGAAGTGTTAGTCACTAAGAATTTGGAATTGGGCAACATTGCCTCAAAACTCATTAGAAATATTTTATTTTTCGTTACTTTAAAAAATTAAATTTGATTACATTTAAAACTATTTACATTTATAAATAAAGGTCAAAAATTACTAGTGCTATTGGAAAGCGTATATTCTAATTAATAACATCTCAATTTTTATTTAATCTTTTAAAAAATACATATTATTTTAAATCAACATGTGCGCCAAGGTACTACTTAAATACAAGTTTAGATAATAAATTAAACACTTAAAAATTTAAATGATATTTTATAAATCCCGTAACATCGTTAAACGATTACCCATTAAAAAATGTTATTAGATCTAGAATGAAAAAACCTTAAAAGCAAAATTCTACAGAAAATCCCATATTCGTTTTTTTTATTTTATGAACTTAATGTACTTCTACCTTTTTCATCTCTGGCGTGAAGGACAAGTATAAATAATGTACAGGCAAAAGTTAAAACGTATTTTATGAATATTGTATGAGCAAAGGGCGGCCAAATTTAATCTACTAACGGGTGACAAATTTATGATCCTCAGGCACACACCGTAATGTAACATTATTACTCCGTATGAACAATGTAAGACATTACATTTTGCAATAGGCTCTTAACAATGAAATTACACGTTGGTTATAAAGTAGTAAATTTGTGGAACTAATCATGTTAGTGGCTACATAATTAATCATAAAATATTAAACATTACATAAAAACAGTGAGGTGTTACTCAAAAACCAAGCATACACGTCCGAAAAAATTAGACTCTGGTAACTATTAAATTAAAAACATTATTAAACCAACAACGCATAATAAAACAATGTTTGTGTGAAAATGCATATAATTTACTTGTTGAGAAGCAGTCTAAGGTAATACGCTGAGCAGTCTTTGATAACGAGAAAACAAATCGGATTAACTACGAAAAGGGGCTTGGAAGACCAATTTTCCAGATTGTAAAAAGTTAGTCGACTGTAGCCCAGAGGGACGACTAATGATATTGTCAATCCAATACCAACCAACAAATGATTGACGGCGTTTTAATTTTTTCGGTAGCAGTACTAATACAACTCTGAGGTCGTTTACCTTATTGATAAGTATTTAAGATTACTGTCAGTGAAAACGTGATGACAATTTTTCAACAAGAAAAGTATATACAATATATGATTTGAATGAACTTTGTGCAACATTTAAACGAAACTTCTTGGCGACGTCTTAAGATAATAATTGAAAAATAACTTCCGACTTAATAATATATTATTTTCAATATAATTTTACTGGTACACTTGAATAATGTTTAAAACAAAAATGACAAGTAAAAATTTTATATGGATCAAATTTTTATTTAACATGTCATTCTGTGTTGCTTTAAATATTTTCTAATGATTTTTTTTATTTATCAGTTAGTTCGGAAGATGAATATTATTTGAAAATTATGTTTGTATCAAATATATCCCTAGAAATTTATAAAATGTTGTCATAATTTATTATAAAAAGCACAACAATGAAGTATCATTAGCTAAAATAGGTTTGCTGTCGGAATTTTACAACTCCTGTAATATTTTCTTGGTTGATAGGTTATTTTTTTTTATTTTTTTTGTTCTACTTCCTTCATATTTAGTAAGTTAATTGTTCTATGAAATTGTAAAAGCTATACTTATTTTGTATTTAAATTATTAATTATCTTTCATTGTTATTCTTTTATTATTCATAAAAAATTTCACTTACTCATTTGATCTTCTGAGTTTATTCGGGATAGCCATCTTCCTTTAACAGCTTGTTGAGCTACACCGCATAAGTTATCTACCGAAGAAAATCCAAAAAGCCTCGAACTCCATTCAAACATGTTGTCAGATCACTGAAAAAACTTAAAAAAATATATACATCAATTAGTAAATTACATGAATGTAAAGTAGGTATCATACATTTTCAAACATATAAATTTGTTGAGTTATAACTCAACAAATCTAAATTTGAAACTTTTTTTAAAAGGCTATATATGATCGCGTGTACATATGAATAAACATCTATATGTCTGATGATGAACTAAGTGTGAACTCGCAGTAGTTAGTCGTGGAAAGTCGTGTATTGTAGAAACGACATAAATCCAGAGCTTTCAAACGCGTTTATAAACTAAAAAGCAATGATTTATGTTTAAAGATCTTCTTTTGTTAGCAAAAGATTCACAAGCATAAATTTAGTAGGTAGTTCGTTTATTTAAAAGTTTAGCCATCTGGTAGCCGATTCTTGAAACAACAATAAATTTATATCGCGTTATTTTTTTTTGAGTGGGTAGCATAAGAATATATGGTTATAATTTCAATTAAAATAGAAACGATAACTCATTTTCCGATATTGTCAAAGTCGGCCAATATTCGATATCAGTTCATTCCGATTCATATCAGTACTTAGTATTCATTTTACACATTTTAGCTATCAACAATTAGATGACTATATTTTTAATATTGTATACTTATTCCAATTAAAATCTTAGCCGTTAAATATTAAAAAAAAATGTCAAATCCCTACAATTTATTTTAGAATTAACTGAAAGTTCTATCGGAAATACTACTCTTGTGAAATTGACATAAAAACTATGTGACGGGTAAGAAATTGAACAATAATGATTTGTAGTGCAACCAAAAATCACGAACCTCTGTATTTTACATACACCCCTTTAAATCCCGACTTGTGAATAAACCTGGCAAATTGGCAATGCGAAATGGCAACTTTGTGGTATTACCAAAAGGTAACCAGTACGATTCAATGTCACGGTTTCAGCGATTGTTATATTCCATTCACTTAGCGAGAGTAATTAAAACGCGTTGGTAGTCGGGATGAGCGATCGGCGTACAAACCACGAAGACGATGGGCGGGTGCCGAATTCGATACCCCTGGCTGGTAGCCTTTAATGGGGTTTGCCGCTAACCACGCCCACGGGGACTCGCGCGCGGTATTAGAACGGGACATGTACACACTGTTCGCTTATCAGTCCGCATTACAACGGGACGCACAGCATCCGCCGTTGGTGTCGCGAGCTCTTTCGTTTTTTTTGTTCCTAATTTCCGTATTACTCGGACAAGTAAAAACTAGCCGATTTATTTTTTATTCCCTTACGGACAGCAGCACATTTGATATTGTCAGAGTCACTCGACACGGATTGCGAGTCCATGTAAATCGCGGTCAATTAATTGGATTTGGAAAACGGGAAAAACAAATTTCAAACATTAAACCGTTTTTGAGCAAGGGTAAGTGAACCAACAATATTGATACCATTATAAATGTGTACAAATGATATATATTTTTTTAAATTTGTCCATTAAAAATTTATAACCAGACGATAATTCTAATGTTAGTTGTGTAAGTGATCGCGCTGTTATCGGAACAAATTCAATTGTCTAGTCATCGACAAATACACTCGTGGTGTATAATTAGATTACAAAAAGTTTTTAGTTTGTCGGATAAAACCGCTGGAAACATTTTGAAAACTTTTAATTTATGTTGCTAGCCGATCAAATTAATTGTCAAATTGAACTAATTAATTTAGAAACTATTTTTATTTCCATTGTCTTCTAATTATATTTATTCCATTTACTCCTCACAATGAGCTAGCTGATTAATTATTTTAACTTGACTATTAATTTGAAAATAATCATCTGGATAGTCAAGAAATATTATAGTTTACCGAAATACCGATTCAATATTAGTTATATTCACAATGTTTTCTACTAAATTCGACATTTTTTTGATATAAATCATACAACATACAGAATTTTTGTACTACCATTTTGTAGTATAAATATAATTTGTTGTACAGGCTTTATAAAATATTTCCCTTAAATATTGATTATATTAAATATTGTATCAATATTAATTATAATTAGTATTATAATTTTGTAAACACTTGAAAAGTTAGCAATTCTATAACTTTCTTTTAGAAACTTAAAATTTTTTTTAATAACCTTGAAAGTGCTATTCACTTTAATTTTATTTATTGCGTAAAAAATGTTTAATTAATTAAAAATACATTCATTTGCTTTTAATGAAAACTTTAAATTATTATCAAAGAAGTTTCATTATTAATATTTTTAGTCTATATTAAAATTTACTTTTAAATACAATTTTTTTTTCAATGCAAATTTTTGATATTAAATTTTTATTACTTTTGACGTTGTTGGTCATTAAAATATATTAGTTAAATTATTAGCAAAAAAGATCGTGCTTAGTTTAATTGAATTAATCGCACTAAAAATATAATTAAAAATAAACTAGGAATGTCCCAATGAGAACCGAAGATCGTACCAATTGACTGTTTTCTGTGGCATATTTAGTGAAAAGTAGAACTTTACCTCTCCACTGGTAAATTTATGCAGCATAAAAAGTTATCATTTGAGAACTGACGAGAGAAAAAAATTGTCAATAATTTTCATAGCAATTTACACCCTTAAATTTTTATTTGCTTTCATTATGTTATGATTTTTTTAAAAACAACCCTGATATATCTGATATATGCTGATTGGTATCGCTAAAGGGATTTTAGAATGTAAAACAAATAAGAAATGGGTTTACCAAGAAAACGTTTGATACACTAAAAAATATTTTTTTATATAGAAGTAAAGTTTGGTTCATGTACACCTCCAATTTAAAATTATTCAATTTTTAATTTTTTTTAAATGTCTATAGATATTTTAATAAAATTTTTTATTCATAAGAATACATAAAATAGGTTCTTTTTACAATATGTCGTTATTTTCGAGTGTCCGTGTCATTAAATTATATCACTTAATGACATCGCATCGAAACGGAAGTCCTTTATTGGTAAATTTATTAATTTGTACAAGTTATTGTAAAAATATTTTTAAAAAAACACAAGTGAAAAAAATATGATTTTACACACTGTTTGTCATAAAAATCTTAATGCATTAAATAAATGTTTAGCTCGAAAGAAAAACATGTTTCTACTTTCTTAGATTATGGTAATTTTTGTTAAATTAAATTATAAATTGGTATTGTTGTTCGAATTGTTCGTATCAAATGTTAATATTATTATTTAAATGTGATTGCTGTCACCTTCTTATTTATAGATGACGACATATTTCAGAAAGATACCTAAAATGTTGTAAAACAATCAAACCTATTTTCTGTTTTAACTAGTGCGAGGTACGGAAAACTTTAAAGGTGTTTAAACCACTGATTTACTGAGGATAAGTTTATCACTATCATATTATAACTTGAGTATAAATTATATGAATATATTGCGAATTCTAAATCTTTATCACGTAAATTACCGTTGATTTGAGTATATTTTGTATCAGTATTAACTAAATTACACATTGACTTGTCAATTTCTGTCCTTTCCATTTTCATATATTACAAATTCAAATAGAATTGGAAAATATTTGTTTAAAAAAAATGTTTTGTCAGCAATGATTAAGTAGTAAACAAAATATCGATATCTGTATTGTGTTCCAATTTATAAATGACATACCAAATCACTATCTTATTCATTCTACAGTTCTGACAATATTTTTCAATAAAATTTTTTTCTTGCTAAAAAATCATTTATTTGTATCAAAGAAAAATAAAATAACATATAAAATAAATTTGAAGAAAAATCATCACTTTAAATAAATTATAGCGACATAAAATTATTTATTTATCCATAATTTTTTGTATTTTCGCATATAATATAACCAATTGATACACATCGTGTATTTTTAAATGCTGTTTGCTAGTGTATCAGTCTATAGTATGTGGTTTAATAATAATATTCCTGACATTTGCAAAGTGGAATTTTACTAATTTTAATTACTTTAACAATGTCTGACCAATTATAAACTGCGTGCACAATTGCAACTATAAATTAACAGCAATATAACTGACCGGGGGTAAGAAGAGTGGAATTATTACGTGTGTGTGTTTAGTTTTTTATTTTAAATTGCATAGACTCTGTGCGTGGTGGTCCTAAGTATTCGTACTTACGAGCAAAAACGGGAGGTAATAATGTGGTGGTATTATAAACACATCCAGAACGCAATAAAGGAGAAGGCATGCATTATGCGTGTAGTAATTGTAATATACGGGTGACGGGCTTCTATTAAGCCCCACATTATTACAAATAACAATTAACACTAGCCCTGTATGTCGTCGGTTAATTAGTCCATAAGGGAAACGATATAACAGACGTATAAATTGGCTTAATTAATTTAAATGGATCCGTCCTAATTAAGTGGAAAACAAATCGACACATTCAAGGCACGCACAAATTTTTTATATTGGAAATTGATTTAATAGTACTGAAGGACACCTCGATAAATGCTATGCGCAACATTGTATGGCGAAATCGTCGGATGCGTAAATAATACTGCAAATCACATAAAATTTTACAAATGTCCATGTGTCATATTATTAATAAGAGTCATCAGGCATTATAATTTATATGATCTCAGTCTATAGGGTAATTATAGTGCAGCATTTCATGTATTTATCTACATATTATTCGATCAACGAATGCAGCTAATCGTTTTCCGTCTGAACTACGCTTTTATTAATTCGAATTCAGATCACTTTTTAACGAGTGAAAATTTTGAAATTAACCTATTAAAACAGTGTGTCAATTATCGTCACTTAAAGTGGAATGGAAGGCACTTGTACACATTTATAAACACAGCAGCATCGTGCAACATAATAAAATATGCTAGTTTAAGACACCCGTCCACCGATATTCAATTAGTTTCAATTAATATTTTTATTATCAAAGTTAAAAACAAATATGATGTTTATTATGTCATTCGGCGAGTACTCGAAACTTATGGCTTAATGTCATAAGAGAAAATTGTGAATAAACTTAATTTAAAAACTAAAAGCGTACTAATCAAATACCATTTAAATTAACTTAACTTTTGCTCGAGTATAAAAACGTCGTTTATAAGAATATTAAAAAAGTTGTCGCTGATGAAATAAGAAATATAATTTTATATTATATCATAATTCCATGTACTAATAATATATACTTATTTGTAATTAAGTAAATAACTTTGGATTCAATATTTGACGTTAAAGCATTCGCTAATCTTCATTTATAAATCAACTTAGTTATTCTGTTAATTAATTTCGACAATATTTTAATTGCATAAAATATNTAAAGGTGTTTAAACCACTGATTTACTGAGGATAAGTTTATCACTATCATATTATAACTTGAGTATAAATTATATGAATATATTGCGAATTCTAAATCTTTATCACGTAAATTACCGTTGATTTGAGTATATTTTGTATCAGTATTAACTAAATTACACATTGACTTGTCAATTTCTGTCCTTTCCATTTTCATATATTACAAATTCAAATAGAATTGGAAAATATTTGTTTAAAAAAAATGTTTTGTCAGCAATGATTAAGTAGTAAACAAAATATCGATATCTGTATTGTGTTCCAATTTATAAATGACATACCAAATCACTATCTTATTCATTCTACAGTTCTGACAATATTTTTCAATAAAATTTTTTTCTTGCTAAAAAATCATTTATTTGTATCAAAGAAAAATAAAATAACATATAAAATAAATTTGAAGAAAAATCATCACTTTAAATAAATTATAGCGACATAAAATTATTTATTTATCCATAATTTTTTGTATTTTCGCATATAATATAACCAATTGATACACATCGTGTATTTTTAAATGCTGTTTGCTAGTGTATCAGTCTATAGTATGTGGTTTAATAATAATATTCCTGACATTTGCAAAGTGGAATTTTACTAATTTTAATTACTTTAACAATGTCTGACCAATTATAAACTGCGTGCACAATTGCAACTATAAATTAACAGCAATATAACTGACCGGGGGTAAGAAGAGTGGAATTATTACGTGTGTGTGTTTAGTTTTTTATTTTAAATTGCATAGACTCTGTGCGTGGTGGTCCTAAGTATTCGTACTTACGAGCAAAAACGGGAGGTAATAATGTGGTGGTATTATAAACACATCCAGAACGCAATAAAGGAGAAGGCATGCATTATGCGTGTAGTAATTGTAATATACGGGTGACGGGCTTCTATTAAGCCCCACATTATTACAAATAACAATTAACACTAGCCCTGTATGTCGTCGGTTAATTAGTCCATAAGGGAAACGATATAACAGACGTATAAATTGGCTTAATTAATTTAAATGGATCCGTCCTAATTAAGTGGAAAACAAATCGACACATTCAAGGCACGCACAAATTTTTTATATTGGAAATTGATTTAATAGTACTGAAGGACACCTCGATAAATACTATGCGCAACATTGTATGGCGAAATCGTCGGATGCGTAAATAATACTGCAAATCACATAAAATTTTACAAATGTCCATGTGTCATATTATTAATAAGAGTCATCAGGCATTATAATTTATATGATCTCAGTCTATAGGGTAATTATAGTGCAGCATTTCATGTATTTATCTACATATTATTCGATCAACGAATGCAGCTAATCGTTTTCCGTCTGAACTACGCTTTTATTAATTCGAATTCAGATCACTTTTTAACGAGTGAAAATTTTGAAATTAACCTATTAAAACAGTGTGTCAATTATCGTCACTTAAAGTGGAATGGAAGGCACTTGTACACATTTATAAACACAGCAGCATCGTGCAACATAATAAAATATGCTAGTTTAAGACACCCGTCCACCGATATTCAATTAGTTTCAATTAATATTTTTATTATCAAAGTTAAAAACAAATATGATGTTTATTATGTCATTCGGCGAGTACTCGAAACTTATGGCTTAATGTCATAAGAGAAAATTGTGAATAAATTTAATTTAAAAACTAAAAGGGTACTAATCAAATACCGTTTAAATTAACTTAACTTTTGCTCGAGTATAAAAACGTTTATAAGAATATTAAAAAAGTTGTCGCTGATGAAATAAGAAATATAATTTTATATTATATCATAATTCCATGTACTAATAATATATACTTATTTGTAATTAAGTAAATAACTTTGGATTCAATATTTGACGTTAAAGCATTCGCTAATCTTCATTTATAAATCAACTTAGTTATTCTGTTAATTAATTTCGACAATATTTTAATTGCATAAAATATAAAAGAATCGAGACGGCAATAATTAATTCAGCAATCATTACTGGATAAATAATTTTATTTGACTTTTTTTTGCGCAATAATAATCTTTTTAATTAATATTTTCAGGAGCAGCTGGTGGAATGTTTTGCTATCATTGCCCAGCGCCCCCTCTTCACCCAACACCATCTACACGGATACCTTCGATCGACTACCCGTTTTCCTCGTCGCACCCTTGTAAGTACCAATTTAAATAACGCCCTATAATGAAATAATACGAAAATTTTACAAAAACGCACAAGCAGACACCTAACAAATGGCTTCAATACCAAATGTGGGTGGAGCTAACCTGTAATATAGTAATTCAATGGGTGAACATGAAACCCCGTCGTGAATTAGGGTCGAAAATATACTTAATTCGAAGTGGGTGGACACGGGCAATTCGAATAAACTTTAACGCGTTAAAAAAAAATCCAATAATAATAATAAATAATTACCATTAAATACATAATTTATGGGTCATGAGATTTTTTAATATAAATTTTAAAAGCTTATTTTTATGAAACTCACAATTCACGAGTAGTGAGTTTGTAGTACTTGTAAAGTTATTCGAAAATATTTCACGTTATGAATAACAACAATAATGTTGCTACCAGTCAATTTTTCTAACAGTCACGCGTTTATAATTTAAAATCAGAGTCATCAATTATCAATCAAGATTAATTAGATAACATCGCTTTACATAAAATGTATACACAATTTATTATAAACTTGTAACATAATTTTCAAACGATTTAGACGTAAATATTATTTTACTAATTCCAATCCTTTCCTTAATTACTAACATGTTATTACCAGTTAATTGAATGAACTAACAATACATGTTAATAATATTTTTATCCGTATTGTCATACAACTAAAATTCGGAATCCAAGTGAATTGTTATTAAATCAAAGTTTTCCGTGCGATAATAATGATCCCACGACGCAGACATACGGATAGTATTCACAAACTTTACTGTAATCTTTTTGTATACTCGGAACGGTCTTAAATAAATGTACTACATCAGGACAATTTAATTCCGGAAATGAACATTTTTCCATGAATAATGAATCCGGATTATCCTCCATTACCGTACAACGTCCGTTGTGCCACCGCCCAATCGTTCTGCTGGTATTACACACAACAACAATAATAATAATAATAATAATAACAAGTCTTAATTCATTGTTTTTTAGGTTTAATGTGCGGTACGCGAATTGGTTAAAAATTTAAGTTTCAATTTCCGAAATCTTATATTCTCGGTATTTATAATTGTGCGCTATTGTCAGCCGTTGCTATCCACTCGCAGGCTTAACAAAAGTGTGCGTGCATAATATATGGCCGCCATAATATTATTACACACATTATCATCGACTTGGCATTGGCTGTGGTGAAATTCAGCGTCTTTGCCGTGTATTAACGTTATAATAACAATTCCGTTTAAGCTGATTTTGTTTGTACACGACATTCAAGCTACAGGTTTTAAAGCCGATTTGCGTGCACTTAAAAAATCTATAACCCTCAACTTTAAAATAATAATAAAATGCTTTTTAAATAAACCAAGTTTCGTTGGCGGCGGTCAGAGGTATAAAAAATCGGGTAACTCGATAGTATAATAAGTAAGTAGTAACCGTTATTATATTCTTTCGCGGTCCCTCGGGACAGGGTCCTGGCATAATGGACCGTGATGCGGCTAATCGTAATTGGTGCCCATCTGTCTGGGCTCGCAAACGACCACTGTGCAGTTAAGCAAAACTCGCTCAATTCGATTGACATTTCCTCGCCGAACAAAGTGTAACATAATTATTATCATTGATACTATTATTAACTGTAATAAGCACGTACTTCCAGGGGGGGGGGGTTACGAAAATTAGGTTAAGGTTTTTATTGCTTGCGCACGGTGATGGATCAAAAGAATTTTTAATTTTTCATCCGAATCGTTAAAACAATACTCATTGCCAATGAGAGCACATCGCAACATTCAACGGAATTCGATAAATTGTCAATGAATATCAATAATAATAATTATTCGATACAACTGTTGTAATCGTCGATCTTGCATCAATGCAACGCACGGTGCGATGAACCTCAATTAAACTCGCATTGTACTAGTAATTGGTTTTTTATATTTTTTTAAGGGCCGCGAAAAAGAAATTCGGAGATGAAATTACCACCTTATTTGATAGAGTCAGCGCAAACACTGTGCGTATCACAGTATTTGAATATCTAATGCGAGCACGTACTGACGATATTCGCTGGATTCCCAGGTGCAATACTAATTTCAATGTTTATCCCGATACCTGGCGTCCCGCGGTCTTATCGTCAAGAAATCATTATGGCTTGTAACGTCGTCGGCGACGAAGGGGACAGGGTGGAGCGTAGACTGCCGTATGAATATTTCAAAGGCGTAACTAACGAAAATTTCCATAATGTAATCTTGAAAGAAACCCGCCACCGCCGCCGCCGCCATTATCACCACCGTGTCGCTACCCTCCTCGGACCGTAATTAGGTTCATTCCGTCCTAATTAAATTCTGGATAGAATCCGTCCCGAAGTCCCTCGGGATTTCTCGGTCCTGTTCGGCGACGGTAACAGCGGCGGCGTCTTGTTCCTTGATTCACTTAGGACTTAAACGTTGTTAGGCGACGATAGCTGGCATGTATACTATCCCTGTACTCGTCGCCTCCCCCTATAGCCAATCCTCATGCAGACACTCTCTTCATGCCTGGCCGTGCGTCTCTAACTGTGTTTTCAGTTTTACATCATCAGTCACGTATATCGTTGTACAAAGGAATCCGGGAGGGAATGAGGGGGTTCATTGATTTACTACCTAACTAATGTTTTTGTGAGCCCTCGTCGCTATTTGTAAATTGCAGAAGAGTAAATTACGTCCGGTCATTCGTTTCCGCCTTTGGGATAAAATAATTAAAGTCAATTTAGTTAACTGTACCTCTGCAAAATGTATAATTACTGATTCCCCGAAACGGCCAATAACACCTGTGTCTGTCAATTTAATATCATTAATACTTGATCAAATAATCAAAAGATTATTAATTTTTATTTTAAATTTTCGTTAGTCCAATACAAAAAGCTAATAAAGTTACATCAATGAATAAATCCATATTGGTTTCCATCAATCTTTTTTTAAATTGATCACCATATATTTAAATAATTTATTCATTTTAATATCAGGGGCGCTATTAAATTTTTTTTTGATACGCATACATATCGTGGAGACTACTATGTCGGGTAAGACGGGGAAAGGTACTTACCTCTTATTTGAGGGTCGAAGTTCTGAGGCAGGATAGACTGTACCGTAGGGGCTAAATTGATAACACAGAATTTGAGGGGTACGTATACTCAGCGACACGCAAATGACGCCCCTGTTTAATATTATAGTTTTAAGACAAATCAAAAATGGATCTGACGATCTCTACAGTCTACTAGCTCTATAAAACATAATGTTTGCCACTTATTCAATTATGTTAATCCGTTTATATTCAATTGATACTTCGAATAGGGAGAAAAACAGGTTTATAAAATTGTGCCTGTTATAATATAATAAACCTTTGTAATACAACGTTTGTATTATGTTACAGATACTAGCTACTCGTATCATCCAGCCATCCATGACGATTCATTTGTTAGGCGCAAACAGAGGAGAAATCGAACTACATTTACTTTACAACAAGTATGTGTTAAAAATAGATACTTACGAACAAATTGCATTATAAAAGAACTTAGTAAAATCAACAAACTTTTTGTTAATATACAGTCGTCGATTATTTTTTTTGTTAGAAAAATAAAAAATTATCAAACAAACAGTTTTGTTCGAGTAATAAAATAAGACTGATTTTAATATCAAAAAATTATCGGATGTAATTTTTTTCTAGTATCTCTCCAGCTTAAAATGTATTAATAACTTCGTTTATATAGATTGTAAATTAATGTGTTTTTATGTCACGAACGATATTTAATCCTTTTGTTTTAGAAGGTCTTGTTTTTGTCAACACAAAATAACGTTTAATTTAGTCGCTATAAATTATGAAAGTTGAGAAAAATTTAGACTATTATGCCCCACAACGATATAAACTCTGTGTACTTTAAATTGGCTCGTACAAATGAGTTGATTAAATTAATTAAATAATCGAGTAGCCCACTAATTCAATTATTGCTAATTACTTTTCAGCTCGAGGAACTGGAGACGGCTTTTGCTCAAACGCATTATCCTGACGTGTTCACCAGAGAGGACTTGGCGGCTAAAATTCAATTGACTGAGGCCCGTGTTCAGGTACTTACACATAATGTAATGAATTAGCATGAGATATTTTCGGTATAAAACATGATATTTCTTATTGGATTAGACCACGCCAAGTAAAATATTATCGTTGTAATATTTCATAAAATTGAAACAAATTATATGTAACAATTATTGCTTCAGTCAGCAGTTGAGGAATTGTGCATGGAAATTTTAAAGTCTTGTCTTTTAATCTTCTAAAGTAATCTGAACACTTAAGTTTATATAAGCTGTAGATAAAATTAATTAGAAACTCTTATAATGTATTTTAAATAATTTAATTATTAATAACTGAATACTTCTTTATTCTTTGATTATAAAAGGCTAACGTCATTACTGAAAATAAAATTCACTATAGTGATTTTTTTCTCAAAATTATATTTATTGATGAATTAGTAATTTTAAAACCATGAAAAAAAAAGCTAACATTTTGGAAACTTGGTCAGTGTCATATTTTTTTTTATAAAACCTAACTGAAGTCTTAACCCTTTTTGCCAATATATGTAGTCATTATAATTTAAGCAGTGACTTATAATAATTTTTCTCTATACATTTGAACAAAATTATTTTTTTAAAAACATAGTACCACTCACGCAAACATTTTTAAATACAATATAAAAATTGTATTTTAATGTTTATTTGTGTAATTTAATTTTTAATTACCTAATAATGGAGACCCTATTCCAAATTAGCCACCTAAATAATGTGTTCAGTTATAATTTTTGTTTACACTCCACTGGATAGATTAAGTTTGTCTATAGGGTCTAACGATAGCTAGGTCAGGTGGGCTTATACTATGGGGGCTAAGATTATTAGATGAATTTTTATAAACTTTTCTGTTTTCCTGACAATTCTATAATTTTAAAAATATCAAGTTTATTTCTAGATCCAGTGTCGGGTCCGAAATTTAATGTGAAATCCTTGGTTAGAAATGATCTTGATTCACGTCTGATAAGTACTTTAACTTTAATAATATTTATTATACAGAATTTCACGAATATTCTATGAAATGTGGTAAAATCTCTTTTCCCTTTGAAGCATAGTGTATTCCAAAAACTAAATGCATATTAGCTTCTTGTCATTTTTACAAATGCTGCATTACTTTTGCTGTTTTAATTCGATAAAACAGTTAATCTATAATATGTATAATCATTTTACCCTCTACTCTTACAATGTTGTTTTTCCGCAGACATCACACTACCACTGCCGCCATAAGACAGTTTGGTTGTCTTAGCAACGCGTCAACGTTTGGCCGCCATTGAATACACTTAGGGGTTAACTTAATAAAATCACTGATGTAAAAATAATTTGTCAAACTTCAACCTTTACTACTTTATATACATATTACTTTTGTATAAAACTATAATACTTTAAATGGAGTTTCGAGACGACCTTTACTATACTTCGATACACCTTTAAATTAATAAATAACGTCAAATTTTTTTAGATAAATAAAAAAGTTAAAACTTATTCATAAATAATAAAAGCTGTTGACATAATTTCCTTAATTAAAAATTATTTGTTATAGTACAATTAGCTGAATATTATGTGTTACTAATATTAGTGACACTGATTGTTTATTAATTTTTAACTTATATTGTTTTAATTTTTCTTATCAATACTCTAGAGCAAAAAGATACTATATTTAGTTCATCATGAATCATTTGAAAAGTTATTACAGAATTTAACTGATGGTTATGTAATAAATAGTATTATTATATTTTAATACAAAAAAAGAATCTTCATAAAATTCAAAGGCAGTTGAAGATTATCTTGCTAATTTTTGTATACATATCGTCATGTGCAACAAATGACAGTAACTCAAGAAACTCAACTTGGAAATTATGAGGTATTTGGATTTAGGTTTTACTCTTGTTATAATAACTCTCATCAAAATATCGAGGATTTGGTTTGAATTAAACTACTTAAAAAATTTATAAATATATAGAGTGTAATCAGAGAATACATTTTACTTTTGATCTCCTAAAAAGTGAGTTACTGTCTTATTCGTTGTGCATATCAATATATTTTTATTAATTAGACTGAGTTCATGCGTATAGAGGTACGGGCATATTAATTTGATTTGGATCACCCCAAGATTTGGGCCCAAGTTGAATTCTAAATAAGAAAAACTAATGCTGACATAATGTACCAGTACTGAAAAACTAATAAAAAGGCTACCAATATTATGTATTCCTATAAAAATCTTTCTAGACCTTTTTTTTTTTTTTTTAAATAGTAATATTTTACTCATACGTATTTAAACATTTTTAAATCTATAATGATCCAACATAGTAGATATATATTTCAGAAAAATTTTAGAATCAAAAACAGTTGTTAGTTAAGAAAACTAAAACTCATCAGAAATTAAAATATTTCATTTTTGAGTAAATAACAAGAGTTAAAAATCATTTATGTAATAAAAAAATTAGGTAGTTAATCGACAATTACAAGTAATTACTTGAAAAACAATTCATTAAATTTTTATTTATTTTATAATTAATAAAAAATCTTTGTGACTATTATACTTTTTTAGAAATTTATATCTTTTTTAATCTCTTGTGATTCATTAAAGTAAATAATAAAACTTGTACAAAAATTATACTCACACAAAAAAAAAGCACTAATGTTTTAGCTTTATCACATTTTACAGCAGATTTTTAATATTTATAATTTTTTGTTACTATTTACTATCAGTTTTATAAACAGTGTTTTATATTGTTTTTCGTTTAATCTTCAAAAGTACCTAAATATAAAATATACAACACAGCGCACTGTAAAGAATACGCTTTTTAAATTATTTAAGCTCAGGATTTCCTTCTTTTGTTTGCTTGAAAAAATATAATTATAAAATATATTTTTTATCATGACCCTTAAAACAAGCATAGCCTGTAATTGGAAGCATTGTTTTAGCAACAAGAAAGTCGTCGGTCGTCAATTAGAGTACAGTTGGACACTCCATCATGGGGTCTTGTTTCAAAACAAAGACTAAAAATAATTGAGAGAAAAAAAAGATAATTATTATTAATAATGTTAAGTCCCTTATTTTCAAGCTGCTGTTTTTAAGTGGGCTCCCATTTTTGTTTGTTTTTTTACAACGAGCTTTATTGGAGAATAAAAACAAAAATTAAAAACTGTATGGTGACTATGTAATTAAATTTAAATCTTCTTATTATAATTATTCTTATAAAATAAAATTCATTAATATACACATAATATGTCATCACATTTCATATAATAATAAAATATAGTAATTTATGAAATAATTTACAAAAAAAAAATATGACTACAAATAAATATTCAAATAAATTTTGCTGTATTTTATAAATATTAAGCTTTAAAAAAATAAGTAATTTTGTAGTGTCTAAATATGTTTCTAATGTTTAGATTATTTAAAAATTGTTAAATTTAGAAATTATGGTTAGATGATAAATTTAAAAGGTATAATAGGTCTTAAATTTTGAGAAATAATGAAATAATTTGAATTAGATAAAGTTAAATTAAAAATATTGATTATCAATACTGATCAAAATAAATTTAGTCAATAAAACACGTACATGTAGTGTTATTTGACAGTGCCGTTAATATAAATTTGGAATTAAAAATAATATTAACTACATGTAATCAATTCTTATTATATAAGTTAGGGAAATTATTTGTAAATATATTTTTAGTAGATAATAACGATCGATATTTAATTTATACATATATTATTTTAAATAAATGAAGTCAAACTTCGCTAAATTGCATTTATTTATGTTTAAAATTGTTTTGGTATAAATCTTGAATATCCTCTTCACCATACAGAAGGGTAGATATAATAAAAATATGAGGGCGTTTTTTAACTGACGAGGGGCTACTTGCTTATGGGGATGATTTTCGATTTCAATGTAATCCGACAGCTAATAGACTACCCAAATGTCAATATAGTTTTACTTGTCTCGGCCCATTAATGTCTTGTACGCTCTGGCACATACGGTAGCAAGTAGTGCCCAAAGAGACCACAAACCCCTTAGAGATTTCGCTTCCGACGTCATGGATATTCTTTTCGTGATTTCCCTTTTGATATAGTGATGTATCTATATGATACATTACAATATTATCTACCCAGCGGCTTTATAACTCAATACATAAGTTTAAACTTGTTAGTAACGTTCAAGTGACTGAAAAACAGTAATCAAAACTGTCGGAAAACATTAAATTTACGAAATTTTAATATGAATTTAAATTTAAATTTATAATTTACTTTATACTAAATTCTTTCGTATCGGTAATTATTTCTATTATTTCCTTAAGACCCTCGATATTTCATTTTTTTTTTTTTTTAAACCGTGTCATCGAGAATATGTATTTTTTAAATTAAACAAAAGCGTCTAAAAGAGACAAACTGTCTCATAATCTAAGTATGTGCAAGCAAATCTAACGACACTCTACTATGTAGCCACGGTTAGGTTATAACGAGAACAAAATAACAGGGTAAGTACTTGATCTCGTATCTCGAGTAAAAAAACATTAAGGTACAAACAAAATTTTGTTCTCGACTTTATAATGCGTTCTCCCGCGTTGTGGCTTCAAGAGATGAACGGATAAACAAACGTCACAGCCCGAAAGTGTACTTTACCTATTCTATAGTAAAAAATAATAAAATCCAAAGGTTCTCTGGGGTTTCTGGTAACATTTTTGAGTGCGTAAATCATAGACTTTATACGTCACTTAACGAATTGATACTCCGACCCTGTTGTTCGTTTATATTGATGTTTATTTGACAGCCACGCATTTTGATTCCCAAATGGGTTATAGATACAATATAACCATGTACTAACGTATGTAATATGTATTATGATTACAGACAGATAGAATTTTAAAGGAAAATATCGTATGGGCAAGAGACAGTGATCGCTCCGCAAAAGTTTCTGATATTAATATTTACTGTTTAGAGACCTTTCAAATTTTTTTAAAGGATAACGAGTGTTAGTAAATAATAACTGTTTTTCAACTCGGCAAAACAATAAGTCGATTTTTACAAGAGATAGTTTGAATGGTTCGATTCAAGAAGGTTCCCCTTATTCAAATAGTAGTTCCTGTTTTGAATTGAACCATTAATTTGGAAAGTTGTTCTTTGACGAATGTGAACTGCTTGTTCATTTTTTCTGTGTAAAATCACTAACCGTAAACATTTACCGTGTTTGTAGTAATTGAAACTGTTATGTGGTAAAATATTTTATTTTCATTAACTGCTGTATGGTCGCAGGTCTGGTTCCAAAACCGCCGGGCGAAATGGAGAAAAGCGGAACGGTTGAAAGACGAACAGAGGAAACGAGAAGAACATGACCGGACGGGTACTCTGCAAGAACATTTGGATCATATGGCCAAAGACATGCAACACTCTCCAGGTTCCAAAGTAAGTGAAATATTTATTAGCTGCTCAAGGAAGAACTTTTGTCTGCTATTATCTTTTCACACGCAATTTATTTAAAAGCATTTACGTTATGTAATATATATATTATTTTCACAATTCGCGGCGGTTTTCCATTGGAAATACATGCGACCAACTTTAAGTGTTTGTGTAAGCGGAAAGACACTCAAGAGTCGGTGCACTGTAATCAGCACGACGTTTCCGAATACGACAGATATTTATTATTGCGGACTGTAGTTACACTTTTTATGAAATATGATAGCATCTCGTGTAGTAAACTATGTTGTTGCAGCTGATGTAATAACAATAAGAGGTTTCAGTAACAAATCTTATGGTACACTAAAGTTATCGATGGTAACCCTTTCGTATGCGCCGCGCGCTAAGCGTTTTTGATTTATTCGTTAAGTTTAATTTAACGCAGGTGCTTGGCGAACGGCGGATCCAAATTTATGATGTTGGCATGTCGTCTTAACCCTTTTTAATGCATAACCGAACTTGCTCGTGTACATAATAATACACGTGTCGTACAACTTTGCAGCCCCTCTCTACATCATTCCCTCCCCGCCGCGTAAACATAGTATTTATCACTCGGCTTGTCAACGCTGATTTATCGTCTGCGGTTAATAATCTCTTAACGCTTTTTCGTTAATGTCACCGAATAAACAGTTTTTCGGAAGTGTAGCCGCTGGTTAAAATATTAACTAAAAAGAAACACTCAAACTTATTGTAGGGCTATAAAACGCGCCGGACAAAATATTTAGACAGATAAAACAGCGGAAACGCGTATATATGTTAAAAACATTATTTCACTACAACTTTCATGTAGTTAAAACCAAGAAAATGGAGGAAGTCGTCGATGGCGCCATATTTATTTTGTTTCTTAGTGTTCTTCTCCTTTCTCGTAACGTTGAGTTTTTTTTCCCGGCGGACGTCATGTATTATTTATTAACCGGACCCGCGAACTATAAATCATACCGAATAAAAACGAGTATTACCGCGCGGTTTGTTTTTCGGGTGAACATAATTTTCCTTCAACTGTAAATAACTCGTTGCCATAAAACATGCAGGACATATTTATAATACACATAAATATCACGTTACCATAGATTCTTAACTATTCATCTATCATCACATCATTGGACATTATAGATCACAAACCGAACGTTATGTTCGGTTTGTGATCTATATCATAACGATTGAAAGCTTAATTGATATTTTATAGAACAATCTACTTATTTTTGTATTCATCCCGTTTAACTACAATAAGTATCCCCCTTCAGTAGTAAATTCTCTGCATTAGTAATTCTGATTTAATAGTTTCGGCTACCAAAATAGCTATAACTAGCGAACATTTTATGTATAAGTATCCTACTTCTGTTCTAATAAAAATATTTTATGAGACATATTTAAAAAGAAAAATCGTTTTTCAGGGTTTGATGGAAGAAGAACACAGGGATGATTTGAACAGTGGAAGCGAAGCGGATGAAGACGCCAGGACAAGTACGGTGCATATATCCGACAGAAGCGAATCTCCAGCCAGTTGCAGTGGTATGAATGGTAGCGGCACCGAAGATAGACCAACGTCACCATCGCCCACCGAGTTAGTTTTTTATTTTTTCGCTTTTTTTCAAGCCCATTAAAGGCCGTAGCGGCCTCCCCCCAAGGAGGAGGTTTCTTAACCATTGACACTCCGGGTGGTTAGTCCGTCGTCACAGCAGTGATGGCGACTCCAATTACCGAATTGTTCTGTCGTTCGGCAAATGAAGCCGCCCGTGACCGAGTTTCGAACCCGAAACAGTAAACGTCAAGCAATGTCGCGTTATCCACTCGACCACACCATTCCTCTGCCCGTCGATTTAGTACCTGCGCAAAGTTTATTGCCCTAATATCATCTACGTTATAAATTCCGTCAGACTATAATAACTACGATTAAAACTTTTATGATAATAATTTAACGGTTACTATAATTGCGCGTAACAAAATTAAGATAATAAAAACGATTATTTAGGACGATAATTGTTCAGTTTATTACAATAAAGTTACAAATATGACAGTTCATAATACTAATTATAATTTATATAATAATTATTTTTGATATTTCGAAAAGATGATTATTAAACGTTTAAAGTCTCGGTTTAAGTTTCCCGATACACACAGCAAACATGTTAACATATTAATATTCGAATTGTCAATGGCTAGAACCTATTTATTATAATTATAGGCGTCGAACGGCCAAACAGACAAACAATTGCATAGGAAGACCTCGAATGTTATATATTAACGCTTTTAATCAATTAATTACAATTTCAACGTATTCAGCACACGCTCTCGACGGTCAATTAAACTGTTTTCATTCTGAAACGTTCGCATTACTAAATTAAAGAAACGATTAATTTTGCAAAAATCGACAAATTTTCCAATAAAATCTCTCGTTTAAACCTATCAAATGATGGTTCGGGCAATGAAGGTCCAGTAATTAATCTGCACACGATAATTATGTGCCGCCGATAAATACCGTTCAATATTGACGTATAATCCAAAGTGTTGCCATCAATCGGTATGGGGCAAACGACTCCCTTACATCGTAAACACCTACTCAGATTGATTCATATGCGGGCGGCACAATCCCTCGTGAATTCGTAGTCGGTACTTTTACATTATTCCATAATGTGCCATTACTAGTGTCCTTGGCTAATTTCATTCGATTCGGTACATAATAAGTATATATGTCGCGTAGTGCGACTGTTATGCCACGCGTCCAATTGTTGTTAATAAATCGTAATGCAGTTTAAGTGAATATAAATTCAAATTATACTTGGTAATTGAGCCAATTAAACAATCAATTCGGATGGCCGGCAAGAGAAATAGATGCACGTTTTGCCTCTCGAGTGACAAAGACACGGCGATGTTAATAATAATAACAATAATAGAAATAACAACACAATAATACGACGTTTGCCATGATTATAACTATACGTTGGAAGAGTATTTTGCTTTGCTTTCAACTTGAACAATGGTTTATTCATAATTGTTGTACACTACATTCATAATATATATATATTCTTAACGCTTGATTTTAATATTAATTTTAATTAATTAATTAACAATGCATTCGACTAGAATAACTCAGTTATTATGTTTAACTATTCTGTTAATTGTGTTGAAGGAACGATACCAACGTCCCGGACTCGCCTACTCCAAGCACAAGTCCAGCATCCCAAATCCGACCTGCCATCAGTGTGGGCACGTCGACGTTTAATCATTCCATTTTCACGCCGTTCTCGACTGAAGGGTAAGTAATCGCGTAGCTTGATCAGATTTTGCCCGTACTAGTAATTTTGATAAATGCGGTTTTTTTTTTGTTTATGACATTGGCACTCGTATCCCACGAGTGCAATAGGTAAACCGATACGAACGTTCCCCCGCGAAACGACAAAACAGCGCTCGTTACATCGTAATTTGTTGTAATACTCAATGAACTGTGTAGTTTACACTGTGTGTACGACCGCTAAACAGATGGCTGCTGTGCATTTGCGGCTTGCGACTACCCTTTTTTTTTAAAAGCCGAGTTGTCGCGTTTGCAGATTGTGCCGAACAAAAGATATACTGCTGCCGCCAGTACCAACGAACGGGACTGGCGTGTGTGTGTTTGTACACTTGATCAAGTATAGACTGCGCCAAGGGTCGTCGTACCGCTGGAGAAACGCGATTGTTTCATTTTTATTTTTTTTAACATTTCAAAAAATCTCTCGCGCCGGTTTTTGTTAATCCGGCGACGGATTTCGCAACTAAATTCAAGTACAAGCGAAAATTCCGAAAACAACTCGGCACTTGAAAAATCAACATTTAACTCGATTATTACGGTTTTCAAATTAAAGCTCTCAAATAATAATAATTAAGCTCATAGAGTAACACGGTTCTCTACTACGCGTGTGTGTGTGTGTATGGTTATTATACGTATCCACATGTGGGCGCGATGCTGTAGACGAAACGGGACGTGCATTAATCTGTTTTGAATATATTATGTATGCATAATTTGCTTAATACTCTGTTCTAAAGGATAACGAGCGGGGAATTTAAATAAAGTTCTAAATAATTCTGTGCACTATATACTCCGCGCTGGAAATATTTCTACGGTGTCCCTTCGCCGCCGCCGCCTTGATAGAATTAGGTTAAGTAACACGGCCGCGTGTACAAGGCGCATATATTACATAGGCGCGCGTGCATACATTTCTTAATTTCCCACGAGGACTAGTAGTTGGCGTCCGTGTCCAGATCGGAAACCGCAAACAATAATTAAAAGCGACAAAAATATCTCCAGGTTATCAAATAGCCGTCGTAACCGCTTCAAACGTCACCGAAGAAAGTTAAAAAAAAATTCATAGTTACTACTAGGCGAACGTGAACGTCATTGCTCCTGTCCATCAGCGCAGTGTTCTCGTTGAAAAAATGCGACGACTAGGATTATAATCATTCGGCCGACAGTTCTCCGGTTCGCATTGTTTTTTGATCATAATGTTTTGGATCAGCGCCGGGACAACAACGATAATTGGAAAAGATTAAAATCTCGTTTGTTTGGCGTTCTGTGTCTCGGCGAGCTACATGTAAATAAAGAGCGGCCTGCAGGACCACCCTCATGGCAGTCGCGATGTCACACACAACATAAGTATTATTGTTTATCGCGCCCCTGCGGGCCGAGTACAAAACCCGTTGGTGCTACTCAATTCAAATTATTAACGTGGAAAAGTTTGTGTTCCTCCGTCTCCGGTGACAGACGCGCACGTGCAAGAGACACACGACACACGTGCCGGACGGCCACCTACACCGACGTGTATGTACGCTGGGTGTGTGACGTTTATATACGCCGTATCAGGTTTCACTGTGCACTTTTTGTTGTGCGGGACGACCGCGTCCCGCCGTAGTCTATTTAATATCGGCAGTTAACGTTACACTTGAAAATTGATTACGGTTATTATTGTGTCATGTGAAATTGTTATTGAATTAAAGTCACATTATATCGGCTCCGGGAGGGTGTTGATTCGATTAGCTCGTGTTTTGCACGTCAATCTGATCGGCAATTTCGGTATTTGACAAACGCTAAATTTGTCTGAAGAAAATAATGAAAAAAAGCTGTGCGTTGTGTTTACTAATTGGAAACTAGCTCCTGGTCAGTTCGCTTTTTTGTGTTGACATTTTTTTAATTCTCAACTATGCGCGTTCGCCTCGCATAAGACACAAATTGTTGACGAGGAAAAGCAAATTTCGATTTTCAATTGATAATTGCATACAACGAAAACTGCCGTCTATGTTGCAAGGTCGTTTATAATGCTCCAACGTGTTCTGTTGGTCAATGCAACGCAATTTTTTTAGGAACGTTGAACGATCAAAATGCGGACATCCGATCGTACTGGGGTACAACATCTACTTACTTATGTATGGCATAATGAAAATTAATATTTCACTCAGCGTTCCGATATGCAAGCGCTGTGTGGTATGCATAACTAATTGTTTGTATTTGTTTTGAAACGTTACAAACAACGTCACTTAAATCGCCGGTCTGAAATATCTTCTTGGAACTTGAATTGGAAAAGAAATCAATTTGAGAAGTTATACTTTATCAGCAGATTATAAATGGCATCCCCAAAGTAATTGTAAATTTAGATAATTCAACCATATACACGCGTAATTCGGTTTTCCTTTGTTTCAATTTGCATTTCAGTCAGTTTGTTAAATTACATCGTTAAAACTTTTCAGGAAATTTATTACTGTCGTTCGCCAACATCACATTAATAACAATAATTTTATTCTAACAAATTTAGCCGGAAAACATTTCACTGCAAATATACTTGTATATATAATCGAATACATAAACCGTTACTTAACAAGACTAATGACGTACCCAACGTACAGCATTCAATTAAATACCGACCATTGTATACATTGTAATTAATCGTGTACATTGAGCACATAGATTGCAGATACGCTTTCGACGTACTGTATTTGTCTAACGAATAAAAATGTATATTATCGCTGCAAATTAATAGCATCACTGCGTGTAAATTAACAGGTTAATAAGTTAGAAAAGACCGGTCAAAAGCGGTCCAGCTTTTAATTTCGGATAACGTTACTATTGGTTAAAAAGTGAATTCTTCTCAAGTCCGACTACAGCTGCAGCAAGATGAAAAAATAGCGAATGAAAAATACTCGCCGTGAGCAAAAGAAACGGAGGAAAAAATGTAACTATTAACGAATTTATATCTGAAAGACGGAAATATATAAAGATGAGATAATAACGTTAAAGTGTCCACATCTAAAAAAGTTTGCATAAAATAAAAACGGGCGTAAAAAAAAAAAGAGAAAACGTTACAGGATCAAAAAGAAAAAGTTTTTTATTCGAAAAATTCCATCAAGTTCTTTTGACTTATTATTGCTGTATAATGTATTGAATATAGTGAGACCAGGGGAAGGCTGGCACACGAATTCACCGGAAATTTTTTATTCAGTACCTGAGTCGTTTGATATTGGAGCAAATTGAATTTTATTATACCCCAGCGGTGGCACAGCAGAGGGTGGAAAAGCAGTTTTTCCTTTTATTTCATAACTCTCAAGTTATGTATCCACGACCGACGGTCGGGAAGGGGCAGGAGGCGCGGTGTTTGCCGTGTTCCTTTTGATGGCTTAAAAATATGATAATTCGCTCGCCGCGCTCAAAGAAACGATGTCAAAGGCCCCTCGCGTACACCCCCGCCCGTCCATTATTAAATAACGTTATACATACATATAATATACGGCGGTATCATCGTTTGCGTTACACCGATTCACCCCCGTCACCTGTCGACCGTTAGCCCGGTCCTTTCTGTACAGTCTCATCACCATTTATTACTCCACCTTTCGCACTAAACAACTCGGATATCTCCACTTTCGCCCCCCGCTCATGTAATTTACAAATTATCAAAATTACGTTTGCGCCCGCGGTCACTTCATTTAACGCGCAAAAACAGTTCCACGTCGATCGACAGCACCGCAGTCGTTACAACTCTCACAATACAACTCAGCTTCGCCAATCATCGCCTCGTTTTCAACCCGCTTTGTTTTCACATTCGTTCACTACAACTCGGAAGTCCCGCAGCGTTTACCGTGCACACGACGCGTTACACGACATATTCTCCGACAATCTTTTTAGGGACATTAACGTACGCTGTTTCTCCGTAGACTCGCTTTGTGTCGTCAATTACGACCGCCCGTCACGGTGCGCGTCCATTGTCGTCAGCAGTCCCTCCGAGTCCGTAGCGTAACGTTTAGAGCCGTGCCGGGTCATTTGCCGGTTCCTTCCGACTGCAATAAACGCACACCGACGACGTCTCTATTAAGTATATTAACCTTATGCGACGCTACTGCAAACTTTAAAAACTTCCGGTTCCGGTCGGACATCATTGTGATTGCTGTGTATACACACACAATACATGTATACGTTTTTCGCCTCCGCCGGGATACACTCACACGCGTCTACATTCATTTATGCTTGTACTTAAGTGACCGGGAGGGAACACGCAATCAAATAGGGTAAAACAACAATAGCATTATACATGTATTACATCCACCACCAGAGTCACTTAGCCGAAAACTTTACCTCTCGTCTGGCCCAATCCAGCGATAATCGTCTCGAAAATCCACATGTACGTGTAAGTTCGCACTGCGCACTACGACATACCGACAACTGGCGAGCACTTACTGAAGACCCGCCAGGAATTCGTTGGCGTCATCGTTCACGATCTTCGGTAGAATATTAATCACCTTAATATAAATACATAGTATATCTCCCCACCCCATTGCAGTACAACATAAGTAACACTCGTAGGTACAGTGACCGATTATTGTACGCGACATGTTTTGCAAATAAAAAACGACTATTTTCAAAACGCATTGTTTGAAATGTATTAATAGACGGCAATACTAATTATCTAATTTTTTTATGTTTACAGTAACGGATTTAGACCCGTCACCGATCCTGTCATATCCAGACCTTTGTTCCTACCGCCACATTTCGGATCGTTGCCTTCTCCGCTATTCACCGGCCTCAAAGGTAAGAATACAGTAAAAATAATTTACAGAGATGAATTGATAGTTTCGTTGAGTGATTGGAGATACGCTTAATTGAGTAATTGCCAATTAATAATTTTAACCCAATAAACGGCCACAATGGCATTTAGCCGTATTGAATACACGCAAGTTATCTTCTCGGTCGGGTTTTAAATTAGAGTTATATTTTTATTCGATACAATTCAAAGATACTCGATTCCACCTACAAGTGTATAACTGTAAACGGTCGATGGATCAAAGGAGTTCGTTTCCGGATTAAGTACACCGCAGTGAAATATATTTATGTACTCAAAAAGCGTTTACGTCAGCGGAGAGCACTACTGCAAAGCAAATCGAGTTTGTGTATCACTAAAAATTAATCTACCAGAGACCCTTTTGTACTTGCTTTGTACATAATAACTTGTACTACAATGAACAATAAACCACCGGATGACAAGCGCGTTAAGCAATTAATGTCTTATCAAAATCTTCTTTATGATACCCATTAAGCGATTTTAATATCAAAGAAAAAATTTACCATCAAAGTCCTTGTATTTTATTGATCTCAATTTATAAAATAACATTGTTAATTTTGAACGATAACGGTGAAAACGTGGCGGGTAAGATTTGTGGTAGTTTTTAGTTAATTTCTTCAGAACCTGAAATCTGAAGGAAATATGCGCATTTTAAACGCGGCTGGGCAACAAGGAAATTATCACTCGAGTGGACCGGTTGGACACGAGTTGAAACAATACAGTATTCAGTATTCAAACTGAGAATTGCAATATTTCATAAGTCGAGTAAAATGTTATACCTAACACGCCGTTAGAGCAGTGTTGTTTTATGGCTATTATTCATAATTAACCGATAACTGCGTACTTTATTTGAAAGATTAACGATGTCCCATATGAGTTTATAACGACTTACACGACAACGTATAGGTTTATCACATTAGCTACGGGCATTCGGCGAACATGAACGTGCGGTAGCACCTGAGCCTCTCCCTGTGCTACGTAAGCCCTCCCCAACCGCTACACTTCATAGTGTAATGGAATAACTTTAGTAGATTTATTGTGCGCCAAGTTTACGACGGGTACATAATATATATATACACACTCGTGTACAGTGTACATACACTGTCGACTTTTGTTCCCCGACGTACCTTTAGGATACGGTAAACAGAGAGGAGGAGACAGGAAGTGAGAGCGACATACAAAGACGGGCGGGATGCAATGTAATCAAACGAATCCCTTAATAAATAACGAAACCGTTCGTTAACAGCTCATAGTGTTATTAATGGACCAAGGGTACATAAATGTACCCTTGATGAAATATTATTTTACGTGTAAAGGAAGTGTAGGGCCCCGTATTTTGGATATGTTGGCAAAATCAATTTACACCGACGTCAGATAATCAAAATAATTATGATTATTGTGCGCGTTAATTACCGTCCACCGGCAAGTCGTACGTACTAAGCAAAGCAGATAATAAATTACGCCAAAGAAATGATCGTGTGTTTGTGTGGTCAATTGGTACGGTTAATATTTCACGGCTGTTATTCGGGTCGACTGGCTTGTTAAAGAAAGAGAAAGGGGTGAATAAAAGATTGGATTTTTTATAATTGCTGTAATTCTCGTATCTTAACAAAATTACATCAAACAAAATGTCAAACGCGTTCTATCATTCTTCTTCCTTAATCCATCAGATTACTCTAGTTGAAAAATCAATACTTTCACTCAACACTTTTTTTTTATAGGTATCCTAAAACTCTGAATATTTAATATTTAATACTTTGACTACAGTAGAGAACTCTAATTAGACTGTACCTTATGTTATTTTACTATTTATTGAACAATTTTGATGACTTTTTAAAATATTTAAAAGGGATTTCCAGAAATCGGGATTTAAAAGAAAATACAACAGTTATGTATTATTCAGTCAAACGAGGGCATTATGAGTTAGTAATATATCACTATGAATGTGTTTTCTTGGAAATTTATAAAGACTTGACACGAATAACTAACGTCATATTATTGAAATATAGAAAATTAAATTAACTAATAAATTCTAATATTACAATATAATATGCATGTTTATTGATTACTAAAGTCAAGATTACAAGATAAGTTATTTTAAGGTATACAATCAATATTTACACGAGGATTAATTGAAGAAGTTTGTTAAAAGTCTACATCTTATATGCAAACTGCTAAAACAAGTATATTTATAATTATGTGGAATAATTTTGTGTTTAAAATTGTTAAAATCAATTATACTTTTTTCTGCGTTGGGGTCTTTTCGATATCCACATAACTAAAGTGGTAGTTCGAAGCTAGTTATAAAGTATATATTAGCAGTAAATAATTACCTGAATATTTATTAATCTATTCTAATGTATAACTTCTATGCTATCCAGAGCACATTTTAAGAAATTTCCACTGAGTGGCGCTAATCGAGGGATATTTTCAAAGTCTGTTCGAATTTAACTCCCACAAAAACCCAAAAAAATTTCACATATAAATAAAACGTGAACATTTTCTCTTATTAAAAATCTCTCTTCAATTCTGGAAACATTATTAGATTTTATCGCGGACGATTTAGATAATCGATGTTGCGACTAGCCAGAAAGTAATATGTTTTTTTAGGTCTTTAAGCACATTTAGATAATTTATAATTTCTACCATTTTTGTTTAGAAATCTAAATGAAAATATATGGAGCAAGTTTTCTATTCATGAAATTAAAGGGGTTCCAAAGATATTTAAAATAAAAAAACATAAACGGTCACCTTAAATACGCTAATAATTTAATTTTACTAGTAAACGTTCTATTAATCATTACTTGACACTTATAGCCTCCAGTTACAATCTGCTCTCAAGTTAACATAAAAATATAAATTATATAATAAAAGTATACTTTTATTATTAATTTTTTTAAATTTTATTTGAGTTATACAATCTATAAAATATTATTACAATAATTATAAAAGATGATAATGATTTTTTGACTTGATTATTTTGAGAAGAGAAGCTCCCCATCGACAACACTCTTATTGAAGTGATATTATTTAGTAGTTGGATTATTATTAATATAATTTATGCTTTTTAAATGTTTTTTTAAATGCTTTTTAAATTATTGTGGGATAATATAATATTAAATTTTTTAAAAAATGACTTCAGTTAAAATGGACACTGTAAGAAATGATCCAAAAATTCCCATACGTTAGTATATTTTTAATACTTACACACGAGTAGTATATATTTTTTTCTAAACGTGTGGAATATTAATACGCAATTATAATTTTTTATCATTAATTTCCAAATATTCCCTTATATTGTAGACGTTACTTCCAATACATTTATGTGAAAATGCAAATATTTTTCTTTAAGAGTGTAACCAAAATCTATTTACTATACTTAAAAGTCAAGTTGTTATGATTTATAACTTTTTGTAGTATTTTATTTTTAAAACAATATGTATATGTTGTAAAATCTAATTGTAAAAATAGTCTTATGCATACTGTCTAGTGATTAAAATAGCAACACCAATTCCTCAACTCTAGTCAATATACAAAAATGCATTTTTCCTACATAATGAAATTAATACATTGTAATAACTAACCCCGTATTTAAATTGTTCGGATACATCGTTATTGAATAAGAACACAATATTATTTTTATAATGAAACACAAAATTGAATATTTTAATGACTAAGTAATATTATTAAATGTATCTTACCTTATGTCATGATCCAAAAAATACCAAGTAAAATGTTAATTTACTACTAATTGTCAAAAACTTAATATTGTGAAAACATTTTGAAATTGGTAAGATACCACTGATATTTTCATAAAATACTTTACGTACTAATTTATTTATAAAATCATCTGATCGATACAGTGCTACTTCAATTAAAAATACAAAATATCTCTATTGTATCACTTACTTAGGCTTTCGGCTAAATTCGAAAACAGTATTACAGTAAAACATGTTAATTATATAGGCGATGCTTAAGGTTTGAGGAAAAGTTCAATATAAATAGAACGGCTATAAATGTTGAATGTATTCGATGAAAACAAATATAAAGTAATATCGTTTTAACGACGGGAAAGTAATTTTAAAATTAGATAAAATGGTACTAGAAATTTAATGTATTTGCATAACCTTTCAGGATTTCTCGTTTCACAATCACGGTGAGCCTAATTTGGTAATATTAAAAAAGTATTTATAGAACGAGTGAAATGAATATCAAAATGTACAAGGATTTAAAAAGCTGAACACAGGTTTATGAGCAACCGCTATTATGTCATCGCGTTGTAATGTATCTCTTTAAAACAGAGTACCACGTGACAATACAGTAGCACATACAGGCTGCTATACAGCTGTATAACAGCTAATATTTACATCACTAAATAAATGTTCTATTAGATAATTAATTGATATAAATTAAGTTAATTTTTCATTAGTTTACTAATAGTGTTAGCATAGTTTTTCTCTAAGTTTTTAAAGACCGAAAGCATAATATATTTTATTTTTTTTCGTAAGAGATTTAGCAAGAAATTAATGTAGGCTCAAAATCGAAGACGTCGTGAAGTTATTTCTTTATGGAGGCGCAACCAAGTTCACTTATCAAATGTATTAACAATTTATTAAACAAACGATAAATTTAAAAAGTTCTTTTGACCTACTATAATGTTAAAAAAATAGATCTTTTAGGAGGGAAAATACACTCTTTACCTCTCCTTTTAGTTATTACCCAGCTTAAATCCCGGAGAGTTCATTCTACTTCCCCTAAACAATAAAAAATCGATTTTACTTAGTTACTACCGTAATATTTGTTGTGTAAAAAAATTATCATAAAAATAGAATATAGTTCTATATTTATCTGTTAATTTATACTCATGCATTATAAAAATGTATTTTAAAAATGATTCAAAAAGATTTTGATTTTATTTTAAACGCAGGATTCGGATGTAGTTGCTGTACGATGAAACCCTTTGGATCAATGACCGATAGCCATAGTGTAAACGGAAACAGCGGAAATGCTGAACATCGTTCCTCCAGTGTGGCCGAACTCAGAAGAAAGGCTCAAGAACATTCAGCTGCGTTGTTCCATAGCTTACAACACGTGGCCAACATGCAACACCACGCGGCCGCGGCCGCAGCGTTTCAGTTGCCAGTCGGCCTCGGACTTCAGTTACCGTCTCTCACGTCCACTTTGCATGCCCTAGCTGCCAACAGGAAGCCCGACCAACAACAAATGTCTCTTCCGCATCCCCAGCCCTTATCGTTAACTACGGTGTCCACCGAGACAACAGGTACCCCAACTACGTCTAGTTCGCCATTACTTCCGTCAGAATCTAACAACAATAACAATTAACGCAAAACGTGAACACATAACTTAATCAAAAAAAATATCGTCATCGACTGTTTTCATAAACTAATTAAGTAATTGTGTTACTAAAATGGTTTTTTTTATATAAAAAATTCAAAATATTTTATTGCCATTTATTAAATGTATTATTGTAACTTTAGATATTAGTTATTATGTGTAGATATGATACATATTTCTTGATAATGATCTTTAGCGAAAAAAAATTATAAAAGTTAATTCAGATCTATGATATTAAACGTCTCATGTAAAATATTAATTAGGTATACATACATGTATTAATATTATATTTATAGACACACCGTATAGTTCGTTTAACATTTAATTTATGTTTGTATTAAAACGCATGTAAATAATTTTGTATAAAATAAAACAAGCGTATCGCAATAGACAGTTACAAAGTAGCATTAAGTAATTGTTACCTTTAGCGTTTTAACTAATGTATTGTAAATGTATTTTTTTCTTAATGATTATACTTATTCTGCTATGTGTGAATTACTATTATTGTAATTGTAATTATTAAATTATTTTTAGTCCTTATACTAAATATAGTGTTTTTTTTGTGCTATACGATTTGAAATATTTTACTGAATGTATTAATTATTAGTACCAGCGACGTGTTTCAGACTTTTTCTCGTCTAAAATTAATACATATCAATCAGAGATCTCACATAAAAATCTCTGTTCGTGTATATTTTTATTGCATTTTTATTCATTCTAATGTGTCAAATTTTACAAATGACTTTTATCGAGTTTCCTTGTGTACATATTATAATTCATATTTGAAAATATTTTCATTTAAATTTAAGATTACTTTATCATTTACTAAGTTAGACATAATCCTTGAATATCTTACTAAATAGCAACTATAACTGTACAAACGTTAGTACATTGTTCCGCGAAATCAAAATGTAGTTGAAATGTCTTTTGCTTTTAATATTTATACCATTGTGCGTCATGGGGAAAACTTTCTGCAAAACACTCAAACGATTTTAAATGGCTTCCTGGAATACCACATTTTAATGCGAATAAGTAACTGTACGCGTGAATGCAGTTCCAGTTGTATAATCTTTTGTATAATTTTAATCTCTCGATTAAAGAATAAACCAAAGAGGAAAATTGACGTTACGCTACTTAATATTTCTTCTAATATAGTCTCATCAATGGCGTAGCCAAAGGGGAGGTCTAAAGGGGTTATGGCCTCTATTAGCAAATTATAACTATAAATAGTTTATAACTCTGGCGTTGGTTAGAGCATGTGATAAGTCAAAAAAGAAGAAGGTCCTTGTTTCTCGAAAGCAAATATCCTGACTACACTATTGAGTCCCATTACTACTATATACACCGCAATGTTTAAATGCATATAAGTTTATTCAATAAACAACGTCTATAGTAGATTTTGTTAGATAATAAAAATATCTGATACCAACAAATTAGTTTTTTTTTTTTGTTTTTACACATTTTTAATTTCCGAGGTGTTTGTAAATTTGGTTATATAAATCCCCTCTCAAAAAAAAAAAAAATTCATTACAATAATTGTAATTGAATACATTTTTTATTTTAATAACTGAATAACTTATTCAGAAGATTAAATTTAGATAAAAAATCCAGTAATATTTTAATAACATACCACATTAATATAAACGCAATTGATAAAAGTATCAATTTTAAATGAAAATATAACTTTAAACATAAAATTATTTTTTTTTATTTTAGAAATAATCAATAAATTTGTAATTATGTATTATTATTTGATAAAATTAACGGATTTGGATATTTTTTTTACTTACTTATAAGTAAATGAAGGACTTAATTAGATATAGTTAACAGGAAAATAATAATTTAATTTATAATTAATAATAACGGTTTAAATTGGTTAAGTATTATGAAAACTAAATAAATTCCCTACGAAATTCTGCAACAAGACTAGACATAGGGTTGGGAATTAATTCTGATGTGTTATATATCGAACACATATTTTGCAATAAATCCTTGCAAGTTTACCGCGAATAACATTTTTGAATTGAAATTCTATAAGGGTGGTTTCTAGGTGCAAGCGCACTGAATATAGGGGTGGATGTGATTATATAGGAAGCGTAAGAGGCGGAGTTCAAAAGGATTGCATAACACGTATACTGTGTGGAGGAGGTCAGTAGAAATGAAATCATAACCGAAATGGTGGACGAAATCGAATTTGGTAATTTTACAAAACCTCATCTTGTAATATATACAAGATCGCAAATATTCGAATAAATTTAGGTAATAAACACAACTACTAATGCAGTTTATTTATAAAACATTTACTTCATGAAGGAATTTAAAAAGATTTTCTTCTGTTAATATCTCAACATTTGATGAGTTACTCAATTATTGAGTGACGAAATAAATTTTATTATATACTTTATAGTTAAAAGATAAAAAAAAAATTTCTTGGTTCGTTAATAACGTTGTATGTTACACATTAGTCTCAGTGATATTGAATGTATTAGTTATAAATATTGATAACTGCATTTAATTTGATATTTTATTTGTGGGAAACAGCGCTAAATTTAATACTAGTTTTACACGTTAATAATAATAAAAACTTTTTTAAATATTAAAGCCATATAACACGCAGACTTGATCTTAGTTTTAAAATTTTACCATACAATATTTAGTATTTTTAATCGTCAAGTTAAAAAAAATAAAACTTCAAAAAATAAGAATGAAGGTAATGTTAAAAAATCTTTACCACTATTAACAGGTAATATGTTTGGAAGGAAATAAAATTGTTTATTATTTTAAATTGGTTCTTGGTAACCAATTTTGAACAAAATAGTAAATATTATATAAAGAATACTATTGGGGTTGTGGAGCTGGTTTATGAGCATTACATAACTTTAGCACCCCCTGTATTTTTTCTTTAGTTGCGCCTGTGGAATTTAATGTTTTTATTTTACACATAAGAAGTTATGTGGTATAACATTTTAGACACATAATTGCACCAAATGATTTTTGATGCATTTAAGAACCAAAATAGATATAAAAATTAACTAAATGCAACGGCAAACAGCGGATCACGGCGAGGAGTGCAAATTAACTAATAGTGTTTGCTTGCAGTATCATCTTATACGAAACGGATCGAGTAAACTTTTTAAGTAAAACAAATACGGATAAGTTAAAATCAGTGATTAATAATCTAGTGATATCATTAATAAGTTAGTATAATCCATACACACAAATCATAAAAAAATTTTCTAATAACAAACCACTGTATAAAAAAAAATAAAGTTTAAATGAATATAAAATAAGAATTAGTTTTTCAATAAAGGTCTTTCATTAATACTGATTTTCTCACCGCGTTGTTGTAACCTTCTTTGAAATGGAACCAAATATCGCTCTTGACGATCTCATCTCGAATTTCTGTAAATAAAAATAATAATAATATATGAAAATCCTAAACAACGTGAAAAAGTAAATACAAAAATATTTATCTCGTGTACACAATTCGATGTACATAATATAATACATTTCGGATAAATTGCCAAAGGGCGGAGATATATTATTTTTAAAAAAAGATAATGTATTTTTGAGAATGATATTTCCGCACTGTTTTCATCGCTTTTTTTTTCAATTATTCATCAATAACTCGAGAAAAACTCATAAATACTTTAACCAGCAAACAAGTATTTTTAATAAAAGAAATAATAAAAATAATCTAGATTTGGTTTGACATGTTGTCGAGTAGATTCACCTCGGGGTTGTCAACCATTTAAATTGTGCAAACAGTGTGGATATTATAGCGATGATGATGTTGCCCCGGTAATTGTCGTGCACGTCGAGATTAATACTGCATTAAAAAACAACCGCCGCTACCACAAACGCGGTCCAAGTACACTATGTCATCTGTATGTCAACAAACGGAATAATAATAATATCGGACACGAATCTCATTATGTCTACGGCGGCATAACAAACAATAATCTAAAAAACCGTGTACCCAAACATTCATGTTTGTTTACTTTCGCGTAATTGGTTCACTTTAGTACAGATAGTCGACAATTTTTCATAAGCTCGTAAACCGGCGTCGAGATAAAACAAATATTAAAATATTTGATTCCCTCGGGCTAACAATAATCCTCATAAATTTCTACGCAAAACTTTAATGTTATCCCACACGCAAAAAATTATTATCCGCGTAAATCGATTTGTTTGTGTATTTATTGTTTTATTTGTCAGTTTAAACGAAATTAATTACAAAAATAATTCCTCTCTTTTACGTTCATTTTATGTGAAAAATACCAGAATGTTTTTGAAAAACATATTCGCTTGTGGATATGGCAAAATATTTTAAGAGTTATACGTTTCTCATAAAATCTTATTCAACGGTTTTTTTTTTTTAACAATTTTAATATTTTAAAAGAAAAGTTTGTGATTCGTATTATTTATCTTTCATTCGCAGGTATTCGCATATCTTTAATACAATTAATAGAAAAACTTATATAAAGTTTTATTTTTAAAACATCTCATTGATCAAATAAGATCCGAAGTAAAATAATGTTTTTCTGACATAAATTATGGGTGTCTAAATTTGGAAAATATGTATAGTACAACGAAATAAACTAGAAAAAATTTAACTTAGAGATTATTATATTTTTTAAAAATCAATTATTTACTAAAAATGTAAAAAATATTCAATAAATCAAACTTTATTTTCGGTAAATAAAAATATCAAGTAAATATTTTCGATATACAATTATGTATAACTAATAATGAAAAATATACCTAATTCGATTTTACAAATGGAAGTTGAGATTATTATCAAATAAGCGTTAAATTTACCATGGACTGTAATCAAGTAAATCAGCTTAATAACGCACATTACAGTTATCTATACAAAAACGTACAAATAATTAACACGATGCCGCATTTCGTCGTTTAATTAGTTTACAAAATTCCCCCATGCTGATGTCTTTCGATAGACATTAGTATACACTTTTAGTCTATTGTTCATATCGTTCAATTAACAGCTTCTCGTGAAGGGTTTATTAATCTACCCCTATCAATTAAGTATTTAACTTTAAATAAACGCAAAAATGAACTAACTAATTCAACGGTAATTTATTTACATTGTTAATTGTCAATCACCATCGTTAAAACTAGTACTATCCAATTGCGCGGTAATAGTTTCTTTAATTAATTTACCAACTGACTAAACTGTNATTTACATTGTTAATTGTCAATCACCATCGTTAAAACTAGTACTATCCAATTGCGCGGTAATAGTTTCTTTAATTAATTTACCGACTGACTAAACTGTANTTTAATTAATTTACCAACTGACTAAACTGTAAAAAAAAACCTCACCTTTATGTTTGGAAATAACCGGAGAACTGATTTCTCGTCCGAAAAAGTCTTTCCTTTTCTGAAACAAAAATACATATATTGATATACACGTATGCGATGGTCAATTTAAGTAATATAGTACGGGACATTATAAAATGTACTATAGCACTTGAACGCACCGAAACGCAATAATATAATACAAACATGGACGAACGGTATCCCTTTACGACCGGGCGGTATAAAAAGAAACCACCCAACCACAGCCGCATAGATGCATACACATACACAAGTACAAGTGAAGTTTAATTGATTATAAAATGTATTACGTTGGTTCGGGTTAAACGACTCGTATACAAACTCCGTTAGAGTGTATGTAAACACGTGTATAACGACGAGGAACCCCCCCCCCCGGCCAACTAGAATTTACCCCAGCCACTGGACGCTAAAACGGTTTAATGGATCGAAAACCGCTCTGGACCGGACGCAATAGCTGAAACGTATAAAACTACTTTATACATCAAAAGACCAAGGGTCAGTGTAATGTCGGGTCAGGAAACGTAGTACGGGCAAAGTAAGAAACTTGGCGCCTCGGCACTAGATTTATAGCCGATTATAAGAGAGTATATGGCTAAGAGTATCAGTGCTCCTTTTTTCTGTATTCATTTTTATCAGCCAAGGGTTAAAAATTAAATTGATGCGCTAAACTCCAATCGGCAGTACAACAGAAAGTTCACCCTTTCTAGAAGTGCACTCAATAACACATTATATCACCACTATTTCAATTACTTTAGTAGCCTTTTATCAGATCCAGAACATACCTATTTGGGGCCATATTTTTTTAATGAACCCCAAGAAAAGTTTTTCCGTAAAAACTATAAACAATATTTTTATTACAACAGGAGTTGTAAACTGCGGGTGATAAAAACATTAATAATAATATAAACTTGAATTTTTTTAAGTTATTTTACCAATTAGGCGGATTACAAGACTAAGTTTTTTTTCTTTGTAGGCCTACCCGGAACTGACCATTATTAATATGGTTTTTAGTCTAAATTAACTACAAGATTAATTTAAAAAAGCTTAACTAAATACAGTTAACCAAATAATATCACTTTCTTAGTTAATAACGTGCACTTTATTGACATAAGTAATAATTATTAGAGCAGTTTGTATACGTTAATCATAACAACATAATTCAAACTGTTCTACTTATAATTAATTTATAGATAATACTATTTTTGGGTGATCTTTTACTCGGTATTCAAATTGTAGTAATATTTTTAAATTAGATATCATTATCATAAGAACTAATTACTTTTCACCATACCTAAATTCATCTTAAAACAAAGTTTGCATAATACCGGCAAAGTATCAAAACATTCGGTTGAAAGTTGGTAACAATATGAAATCTCAAAAGACCGAAATTTCTCTATCCGGCCATGTCTATGGCCATTTACATGTTAATTTAATTAAATAACAAGATAAATTCTTAACATTAATTTTTATTTGTTGAAAAACAATTTTGCGCTAAAACTGACTTCTGAAAGAGTTATTGGTTAGGAGCAAGAGATTGATCGAGATAAATTGAAGTCGATTAGACAATGTTTTATGTCGGTGTAGTACATCGTTCTTGATAAAAGGGACGAATTAAACTGAAAATAAAAGAAAATCCAATGTGTTTTCTAGTTATATAAAGTGAACAAAATAAAAAGGAAAATAGAATATACTGCTTGGATATGCTTTTAAGGCGCCCGTAATGGGTTTCCTTTATATATATAAAAATATACACCACTAACTCGTTTGTAGTTTTTCAAAATCACTTGTCTTTAGAAAAAAAAAAGAAAAAATGGGAGGAGAGCAGTTTTTCTAGCAATCAAGATACATACAGCTCGGGCACTGGACAGTAAAACATAAATAAAAAAGGACTTTTTTCACTTCAATCTTTAGTCACTACGGCACCGCCAACTTTTTCCTAACCACGTTGTCCGAGAATAAAACTATTGGGGTTAAAACTTGTCTAAAAGCAAGTAAAACGCCGTTAAACTGGCTTTATGTGTAGAATTAATGGTCGAACACAGGAAATATCCTCCCTCGCCCACTCACACCAACACACATCCTTAATAAATAAATACATTATGAAGCTGCCACAAGGTCATACAGAATTTTCTACACGTTAATTTATAGTCGGTTGGCTGAATAAATATTTTCCTTAGTCGGATCACCGGGCAGGCGATAGGTAGCCGAATGAAAATTGATGAATTATTAAAATATTAAAAAGAAATCATCGGAACAAAACACTTTCTCAACTTCATTTTGTCTTCCATAATGAAACGGCGATGGTTAAGTGGTTCGTTACGGCGCATAAAAGTAATAATGCGAACGAATATGAAAAATTTACAAGGGAGAATACCGGTCATGGCTGGGTAATAAATAAAATAACATGTAGTCATCGTCATGTACACAATGCGCAAGATTAATTACAGTTGGCGATGACGACGGCAGCACTTGAGTGGAGACGCTTTATTATTATTTTTATATCATTTTCCTATGCCCCTACCCTCCAACGCGTAAAAGCTTTCTAAAGGCCTTTCATCAGAGCCTACACACAAAAACTGTGTACAGCTCCAGTGTGCACCCGTTGTCTCATTCGCTTACGTATTATTATTACTATTATTATGGTTATTATTATATATAATATTTCTTTAATGTCGAGTGTACTCCGGTGAAAATGCGTTCAGATAAAGCAAATGAAAAGACATGACTTAATGACTTTGGCGCAACTAAGAGGGCGTGACTCGTCCCATCTTTGTGCGTACACATCATTACTAAACAATTAATATTGTAAAAGCTATCCATAATAAAATACACTATTTATTGCCGTCCGAAAATGAAAATGCCATAATTACCAGATCCTTAATATCTCAACAATTTTCGATCATTCAACATTTTATTTGACATTGCACTTGATCTAAGTTAATTAAATGTTTTTTTATCACTCATCGGTCTTACAGATATAACTAGAAGAAAATCAAGGAGCGCGTTTTAATGTATCGAGTATAAAACGATAAACGTAGTTTTTCTTCGCTGCAAGAATGGTTTTCGAATATTGAAGTTTTCTCGACCTAATAAGTATACTTATAGAAATGTCTTCAATCGGGAAAAATTCCAATAAAGGCTGTTGACAAATATTACTAGGAAATAATAAAAAAGAAAAATTTTATATTTTTAAAAATCGAAAACTATTAGTGGGCAGTGGCATAACTAAGATTAATTTTTATAGGATGGGTATCCTTGATTAAAAGTTATCGAGGTGAAGTTTAAAAATATTGAAATATTGTGCCCATAAAAAGCCGTTTTTGGACAATGTTCGATACAGGTACGTTAAATTACCTTTGTTTAATATTTGATAATGAACGAGTAAATAATACAATAAGTAGACAATACGATCTTAATATATGGTTCGATTTTTGGGAAAGAGCTATACAGAGTGTAATAATTTTAAAAGCATAAAACATAATATAATTTTTCATTTTTAGAATTTAATAATATCACAAGTTTTATCATTTTTATAACTTCTTTTTAAATGAAAACGTATAAATTTAACCAGTTTAAAAATGAGAAAATGATTTGTCAACTTTTGAACCAGTATTTTAAATAATATTAGCATTTATATACCTAAGCAGAAGGAGTAATTCAATTCATAAATACTTAGGGATTAAAATAAACAGATCTTATACTTCACCTCAAGTTTTATATTAAAATATTAATTACTTCTAAAATAATGATTTAAAAGTTAATGACAATCAATCATATTTTTATTTAATTCTAGCAGGTCACTTTGCTATTCTTCTAGCATGCCCAAAAATTTAAAAAAATGCCTGCCTATGCTGCCGAAAAAATGAAATGAAATAGTATTCTCTTCTTACTCTTATATACTTACCAATGATTTAGCAGGTTTTAATATTTTGGGTGTCAACTTTTGAAGATGGTTTGGAGTAAGCGGTTTTTCTCGAACTCCTATGTAATAATCAATATTTTTTTAAATGTTTTGATTGATAATTATAAAATAATAATTAATATTTTAATTTAAATTACTTTTATAATTACAAACCTTTTTGATTTTTTGGAGTTAAAACTGCTTTTTCTTTTGCATCAATATTAATTATTTTCTCTAATTCCAAATCAGTTTCAATATGACAAGTTCTTCTTCTCATTTTTTCAATATCAATTTCTCTGGATATTATTTGTTTTGTAGCATAACTTATAGTAGGAAAACTATCTAACCCAGGAAACTTTATTGCTTCATCTATAGATCTAAAAATAAAAAAAGTAATGTACAGTAAGAATTCAGCAATCAGTTGAGGTAATTTTTAGATTAATATTGATTGATATCTAACAGTGATTAAAATCACTATCGTAAAATATTGAAATGCATGTTAGTAACAAATTAAAAAATTTAACATATTAACCAAAACATACAAGGATATTTTTTCAAAGGCCAATAAACCGAAGAAAACAAGTAATTGACATTTTTTTTTATACTATAGTTCATTAAGCAATACGTTTCTGTGCAAAACAGTTTAAAATAAGTTATTATTAAAAATATATGATTTTTGGCTTTAATATTAGAAATTAAAATTTTCAATAATTTCAATAATAATTTCAAATAGATTATATTAGCTTTAATACAATATAGATTTAAAATAGGGAAGTTTTTTAAATATTATCAAATATTGAAAAGAGATAAAATTTGATATGATTTTTAAGCACACGCAGTACTTTCATTAATGATCGTTTTTCAAATGGTTTCTTTAATATAAATTGAAAACTAAAAATATGAACATTGACAACTGTAATTTTTTTGGGCATTTCTCTTTATTAAAGAGAATTTTTTTAAATTATGGTGATAAAGCTTCAACTAGATACTTTTATTATCTTTTGACATATTGTTGAGCAAAATCGGTCCAATATGACCATAGTAATTATGTATTACTCAAAAAAAAAAACACTGCAGAATATAATCAACTGCATCAAAGCTATAAGACAATTATAATAAATATTAAAATATAATATTTTCAGTAGTTAATTGAAAAAAATATATTTTATGTTTATTTCTATACTACATAGAAATTTAATAGATAGGAATAAACCAGACATGGTATCCTTGTATCTGCAATAAAATATTATTAAATATATTTTCGATAAAAAAATTAACTTACGGAGTAAGCAAAAAGTTAAAAGAACCATCAATAGATCTTTCTTGGTAGTAATTTAATCCATATTCAATCATAATATTTATAACTTTTCCCAGGTCTTCTTTTTCTTTTAAAGTAAAAAGTTGAATACTTACCTGAAAATGTTTTATTATTTAAAAGAATGAAAAATTATTGTTATTTTAGAAATAAACAAACTGAATATATCTTTTTTAGACTTATTAATAAGTGAATTACAGATCTTAGATTTGGCACAGCAATATGCATAAGTAATGGCATAGTATCCAATAAAATTTGATTAAAGTGAAGAAATGTTCGAATACAAGGAGTTATTCCACTCATAAGCTCATCTACAATCTGTTTATATTTGTTCTTTTTAACCATAGCCTAAAACAATAAATAGATTTTAAGAATTCCTTTTTTTTTTTAATAAAATAAAAAAGTACTTCATAAGATGCACTAGGATAGGTAATTTTAGGCCAAGTAAATGCTGCAAATAAGCAATGCCATGTAGCAAAACTGTATGGTAAATATGGATACAAGGAATAGTTTTGAGATGTATTTATAACTGTAGTCAATCTATCAAATTCACAAAACCAATCTAAACCTTCAACAGCCTAAATCAAAATTTAAGTTTTATAATACTTCAAGAAATGTATAATAATTATTAAGTTTTTACACTTGATATTGAAGAATCTTTTTGCTTTAAACTTAAAAAATTTTCATATACTCCTTGACTAAGCTTTTCATAGTCTCCGTAACTCTGAACAGTTTTTAAAACAGAATCCACTCTGAAATAAAAATTTAATACTTTCACATATCTGTTTAAATTAAATACTTATTTTCAATAGTAATAATGAATTATAATATTTATATGGGAGAATTAATACTTCAATAATCACGAGATTAAAAAAAATAAGATACTATTTTATTTTATTTTAAATATTTACCTATCTTTCATAACATTATTATAGTTGGAATGGTCATCTTCTCCATTTAATGAATTACTGTCAAAATAGCTTTAATAATATATAAACAACACTATTACTAAATAAATTTAAGTATAAATATTAATATTAATGTGATAATTTGTTATGTATTAATTATAAAATAAATAAATAGTTGTTGAGTCTTAAATATTATATGGTTACTACTAATTTCAAACTTAGTTCATCTTAAGATAACTACAAATCATTGATATATATATATATATATATAAATTAATTAATTAATTATATGTTCCTCACGTAATATCTTCCAAGATAAAAAATTATTACAATTTTTATTAAGTAAGAAGTTTAACAATTATTAACATTTTAAAATATAGACTGGAGGTAAAGCGTTGTAGCTGTTATTTTTATCATAATACATTTCTCGAACACATTCCTATAACCTCTTAGACCTAAAAATAAGAATAATTACCAAAGTACTGGTCTAAAAGTTGTTATTAACCAGTCAATTTCTTAATTAGATCATTTTCTATTTTATAATTTAGTTAAATATATAAGTTGCCATTAAAAAAAATTATGTTGACAACCTATTAAGTTATAAAGGGTGATTTTAAGAAGTCATTATTAGTTGATAAAATAAGGAATATATGTAACTAAAAGAAATCAACATTTTTTTCCACTATTGTATTTATATTGCGAGTAATTAAGAGGTTTATGATAAACCGATCATCTTGTATTTATAAATTAATTATTCAAAAAGTCACTAACATGAATTAAATAAATAATTAGTATAAAAGTATAAATAATAAATTATGTGTCTTCTTCTTCTTCCTCGCCTTAATCCCAACTACTTGGGATCCTAAACTTCCACTTGACACGATCTCCCACATCATCTACGCTCGCATCAGATGTCCACATATCGCATTCTATAGCATCCCTCCATCTCTTTTTGGTCTTCCTCTACCACTTCTTCCTTTAACATTAATTTCTATAACTGTTCTTACAGCTTCCGATTTTTCTCTACTCATAACCATCTAAGTCTATTTTATCTCATCTTATAAACGATTGACCCTACACCTATACTCCCTTTTATATGTTCGTTCCTTATTCTATCTTTTCTAGTCACTCCACTCATCCATCTAATCATTCTCATCTCTGCTACAATCATTCTCTGCTCTACTTTCTTATTAACACTCTGAACCATACATCATAGCTGGCCTCACAACAGTCTTGTAGAATTTACCTTTCTGCCTCATTGGAATTCTTTAATCGCATAAAACACCAGAAGCATTTCTCCACTTCAACCACCCCCACTTAATTCTGTGTCTAACAACCTCGTCAATACCACCACTCTTTTGCACAACTGACCCTAAATACTTAAAATTCTCCACCTCTCCAATCACGTCCTCACCTATTGCCACTGATCTCTTCATTTCATCTACCTCGTGTTCTCCTTTGTCAAATTCGTACTCTATATACTCTGTCTTACTTCTACTTATTTTTAAACTCTTTTCTTCAAAAGCTGATCTCCACACCTCTAACCTTTGATTAATTTCCTCCCTATTTTCTCCTATTAACACTATATCGTCAGCAAACAACATGCACCAGGGCACCTCTCCTTGTATTTCTCTAGTAATTTCATCCATCGCTATAGAGAATAAGTAAGGGCTTAAAGCAGAACCTTGGTGCACTCCTACTCATACCCGAAAACCTTCTGATACTCCTCCTATGCTTTTTACCCTGGTACAAGCGCCATCATACATATCTTTCAAAGGTTCGGTTGGGTTAGCACTCAAAGACTATTTATTTTATAATAAATTAATATTTAAATTAAAGTAGATTTTTTATCTAATTTTATTGAAATGGACCTTTTTTTTATTTGAAATATTTCTTGCCATACTGAAAAAAGACCTTTTTGCATATCTTTATTGCCAATACTTGAATTTTTTATATCTGACGATCTTAATTGTTGATGTCTATAACATGATAATGTTGACAAACATGATCTTATATCGTTATTAGTTTTTGTACTAAGTGCTGTCATAGCACTCATGTCTGTTTTTATTTTTTCATAGCTTGAAATTTCCATTAATCTTTCTGCTAATCTGTTAAATTATAAATTATAGTTTTAATATAAACAAAATTTAAAATATAAACCTTTATTTTAAAAACTCGTTCACCTTGCAGAGGATGTAGGAGGAAAATTTAGAACAAATGCATTTTGCCTCAAATTTCTTAATGCCGGTACATAAACATCATTACAAATACAAATAATTGGTCTTTTTAATATAGAACTTTTTTCTTCTTGTTTATTAGGTTTTTTTTTACGACTTGATTTTTTTTCTAATGCAAATTTGAGCAACACATCAATTGTATTCTAAAATTATGTAATTTAACATTGAATTTTATAACATAATGTAATTATATCAACACTAATAATTAGAACATAATTATAAAACTTATGCTAACCATAGGAGCTCCATCTATTTCATCTAATATTAAACAGTTTGGCCTACAATCAGTACCCATTACTGATGACATTTGAGTAGATGCTTCAAGTTTAATTTTGAAACTAGTTGGGTTACGATCATCACTTGCATTTATTTCAACTACATTATAACCTGTAAATATGTCAAAGTATAAATAATTTTGAAAATGAGATATTCAGATATTAACTAATAAAACAAATTAAACATAAATATTGTAACTGATTCAAGTTTTGCTACCAATTCATAGAATTTATATAGGAATTCTATGCCGCTATTCATGTCTTATTCAATGGTTAAAATAAATTATCTGTTTATTTTGGCTCAACAGCATTAAATTTATTAGTAAGTCACCTGCTTCTCTACAGAGATATTTGTAAAAATCATGGATTTACATCTCCGTAAACCCTAGTTAAACTCAGAGGAGGTAGCAACATGTAACACTGATTTTAGCTGGTCAAGACTTTGGTTAGTTTAGAATAATAGACCTGAGTAAACCTGCTTGATAACAATGAACAGGCCCCCTAATCCAGTCATACTAAGTAAAAGGTTTGTTCACTTGTCATAGGGTAGTTAGCCCAAAAGTAAAGTCAGCAAATGCAAACCAGGAGTCGCAAGACCAATAAATAGCAGTTGCTGAATGGATCAAAGGTCTCAAACTTACAGTCAGATAGAGGCACAAACTTAAGAGGTACTACGAAAACATAGAAGGACTAACTGAAGGGAAAGAAAAAAAGAACTAATAATTTGGAAAATTCAGAGGTTACCGAAAATCTCAAGAGACTTGAACATCTAGTGAAGAAAACCTATTGGGTACCACTCTATAAGGATATGGTAACTGAAAATAAAAAGTGGCACTGGTCTTCGCAAGCTATCCCACAAATAAATTGAATACTGAACAAGAAAAACTCATTGAGTCTTGTGTTAAAGACTTCATACTATCGGCTACCAAAGTTTGAAGACACTAGGCTCATTGATAAAGTATTTATAATCAGTGCTGCCTCAGAAAGTTCTATTAAATGGTTCACTGAAAATGTCAACAAAATAAAATCTTAGGACAGTGCTGAAATCCAAATAGAGATTTACAACCCGATCAGGTACAAATGGATGGTCACTCACATGCAATTTAAATATAATACAATTCACATATATAAATTTGCATCACAGTAAAGGCACCATAAGTGTATTGCTAAGGACCTTTAACTGGGAGGCATACAACACCATTACAAATAGTACTTATTCAAGAATCATGGTTAAATGCTAAACAGATAAAAGGACTAAACTTTAGGGGGTTACAAAACGGTTTTACAAACAGTCAAACAAACTGACAAACTTAATTTGTTAAGCTCAAACTTAACAACTATATGGTAACATTAAGTAATGATAAAAAATTATATTGGCTTCTGAATACCTACCATTTGAGTTCACGTGTATTCATCATGTGTGAATGTGACACCCTAATCATATTAAGATCTAAATACTTGGAAAAATCTTTTTTAGAAAAAGGAGTTATCAAAAACCTTAAACCCAAAGAGATACTTAATTTTGACAGAGACACTACAACATTTAAAGGAGTGGCCTAGTAGAATGTCCTATATACAGAGTGATTGTTTTATCATAAACCACTCATTACTCGCAAAATAAATACAATAATGGAAAAAATACATAAATATACTAGGCAATGCCTAGCTGGGGCTCCGCCCCAGAACCAGAGCCCTATGAGCCTTACGCGCTTTTGGCGCGTAAGCCTCTTGGGACCGTCATCATAAGTAGGCCAATGATTCCGGTAGGGGTACCCGGCTACGCCGGGTACGATAAGTGTTTTGCAAAAAAAATATTACATCAGAATCAGTGTAACAAAAATATATTAAAAATGTTATTATTAAAATCAGGAAAATTCAAAAAGAGAAAATAGTAAAATGTATTGGGTATAAGGTTGACGTTTGTTAATGAGGTATTCCCTTTAGGCCTATTCAAAAATTATTTTAGTAGGGTATTTAATATTTTTTACTTTGTTAAACATATTATAGTATTTTTTTTGCTAAAAATTAAAGTAATGATGAAAAAAAAAGACATTAGGTCCTTATTTATTAGAAGTTGCCTAAAAAAATATTAATAGTGCTGGTTTAAGGGGGGCCCATATCTTCCTTAAATACACCCCTGGTATACACAAAAATTATTAATAATCTAATTATAATAATTGTGTTTATATTATAGAATAATTAAAAAAAAATTCAGCAGGTTATTATACGTGGGACTATGTAAAATATTAAATTTTGATGAAAATATTAGTAATTGCGATTCAACGTTGGACAGCATAGTTGTCATAGATGAATCCCAATTTAAACGATAAACTCATAGACTCATACATCATAGATGAGAAAAAAAAGATTATTAATAATGTACTGTTCTGAAAATAAAAGTACAAACTTATATAATTATAACCGTCTTGAAATTTATATATAACATATAATATTTCTCGATAATATATAGTGCTATGTGCAAATGCAAAATAGTGTTCTAATAAAAAAAATATATTACACCATATAATTAAGGTTCATAATAAACGTATGAGCAGAAATGAATCACTGTGCATATAAAAACCATGCACGTGGACTTAAAAAAAAAAAGCTCGTAAAACGGTAAAAAATTAACGGATTGAATTGATTTTTTTATCATATCTCAGGAATGTCATTGGGTGGGTCTGATGAAAATTTCAAACCTTAAATAATAAAACGCTAGCTTCAGCGTGCGTTTTTCTCGTAAACTATCAAAATTTTAAAACGCCCGCGGGCGAGCATCAAAAATTTTCCGACCTTTGCCAATAATTTTCCTGGAGTCTGGTGACTGAGTACTTTTGTTGAAAAAAAAATTTTGAAAATCCGAGCACGCTAAGTAATTTTCCCAGAAAAGCGTTTTTTTCCTTGTTCTATTATATAATAAGATAGAGTTGGGTATACAAATAATAGCAAAATGGTTTCTTCACATAAGTGAAGAAACTAAATGAATACAATTCAGTAAGTGTGTACGGGTCTGAGTGCATGAGCAGTTCTTTCCCACTTCTTTAACAACTAAAACTAAACTCACCTGCTTGTTTAGCTACTAAATGGGCTAATGTAGTTTTTCCGAGACCAGGTGGGCCACATAATAAAGCTAATTTCATTTTAGGACATTTGTTATCATCTAGTTCTTCATCCAAACCAAAATTTTTTTTAAAAAACTTAGTACCTACAGTAATATTAAAAAAATCATAAATAATCGCAATAAAAAAAATTAAAATTGAATTAAAGAAAATTTTTTAGTTATATGAGAAGAATGATTTTCATTATAAATAGCTTTAATTTTAAAAATTCAAAATAGAAGTGGTTAAAAAATAGTAATATCTTCTTCTTATTATATTTATTTGCGCACAATGGACCAACAGGTCTGAGTGCATGGGCATTATGTTCATTATGTTCGATAATAACTATTGTATTTATCAGTAAAAAATCTTTCAAATAAAAATAATTAGATTTAAACATTTTTTTTTTTTATTACGTTAAAAATAAATATAATTAAAATGTACCATATTTATTGTTTACAACATTTGAAGTTCTCTTTTTTAAGTTTACTTCTTTATTAAACACTACTTTGTCCCATAGTTTTAGCCAATGTAATAGCATTCTATTAGTACTCTCATCACTAAGCAAATCCAAATATTTATGAGGTTTATACTTTTCAACCCAAAGATCTGCAGTATTATCAACATGTTTTACAGTGTTTTCTTGGTGACTAATATATGATGATAATTTCAAAGCTTCATCTTTTTCAATCTAAAATTATAAGATGAAAAATATTTTTTCAAAATACTTAGATATAAAATTTTTTACTTTTTCAAAAGCATTTGAAATTAAATTATTTGCAGGGGATGAAAGTAACTGCACTGATTTAGCATGCCATGATAAATTTTTGATCTAGAATACAATTTAAATTAGTATAGAAGTTGATGTTTAAACTGAATATTTAAATACTTCAGATTCAACAGCTTCTTCTGATCGGAAACGAATATAAACTCTTTGCCTTGCATTATCAACAGCAGGAAAAAATGACCAAGATGGTACTCTTTTAGAAACACTTTCAAATGGTCTACTAAAATAATAAAATAAAACAAATGATGATATTTATCATTAGATTTAAAAGCTAATTTCTATTAATTCAAAATACATTTGATTTAAAATTGTAACTTATTCAAAAATAAACCATGTTAATTTTAATTATAATGAACTGTCATATAAAAAAAATTTTCTTAATTTTTAAAACATTTAAAAAACTAGGGTAAATATTCGCCATACATTAGTTATTAAAGATCAAAATAATCACTGAAATTAAAAAAAATAACTTACATTGAACAATTATATGTAGATCCTGTTAAAAAATTAGTTCTTCTTCCTATTTTATTTTTTTGACGTTCATCAATTATTTTTTTTATTAGATTTAACTGTTTGATTTCTTTATCTGAAAGTTCATCATCTACCTTCTGTCGTTTCATAACTGGTGGCACTATACATAATTAAACTACTCACAATTTATGCAAATATAAAATATAAAATGTTACTATTATATTATATAATAAATGTATCCGTTTTTTAATACTATTGATATAATAATTTTTCCAGTTTTATATCAAATATTTCAATCCCTAAGTCTGGAGTCAACAATTAGTTTCTAAATATTTTGATATTACTCTCCAATTTTTAATCTCTTATAATGAACACAAATTGCTATTCATTTTTTTTTTCTAACAATTATTTTAAAATATACAAGTAACCAAGCATATTTGAGTTGAGAAAACATTGTGACTTGGTACAAAGGTATCATAGTTTGATTATAATCCACTGAAAATTTATGTACAGATTTTCCTATTTCCTCTAACACAATTATAGAGGATGATTTTACATCCTTTACTAAAGTAGATACAAAAAATCATAAAAAAAAAATTGAAATATTTACAAGAGTGGTCCTAATTAAAACATACTAACAGTCATCTTCCTCAAAATTTATATCATCAATATTGCCAAAAACATCATAGTCTTCTAAAGGTCTTCTCTTACTTGATATTGAATCTACAATTGGTAACTAAAATAAAATTTAAATGGTTATCTAATACAAAAATATGTAAATGGAATAGAATTTTATATACATTTTCTTCTAAATTAAATGATTCTACTGATGTCTGTGATAAAGGTAGTACTCCAAGTTCTGTAGACAAATTTAAAACATCTGAGTTTTCTTGATGATTTTGAAAATTTAAACTTCGTTTTGACTCCTTCGGTGAATGTATTTTAACAACTAAAAATTTTTTTAAAAAATTATGGTTAAACAATTAATTTTTACAACAATAATAAAAATAAATTCAATTCAAAAAATAAATAAATTATATTCATAATAAATGTACAAGATAATAAAAATACTGAATAAGAAACTACTATTATACAGAATTTTAGCTTCGATGCGAAGCTGAGAAGGTATTAATTTTACCATGATGTTTTTTTTTTATTTTATTTTTTTTATGTCTGTTGCCACTTTTTATCAGCTCTCACTGGACCGATTTCTTTAATCAATACTTTAAAAGATCACAAATTGTATCTAGTTGAAGATATTACCCTCAAAAATTGAAAAAAAATCCCTCGTTCCCCGTAAATGGGGGAAACCTCCAAAAAAATTACAAATTTAAAAATCGCTAATTTTCAAAATTTTTTCAATTTTTTTACTAAAAACTGCCATAACTTTTTTAAAAATGAACAAATCAATATAAATTATTTTTATATAGATGCATGATATCATTACCTTTCATTTGGCATATTTTTTTGTTATATCTGATCCTTTAACTGTCCACAGGGGGGGATTTAAAATGACAACTTTTTTACAAAAAATTAACTTTTTCAACTTAACTTTTGAAAATGTTACGGAAGGTCTGACACTTTTATATATATCTTAAATTAAAGCTAATGTAATGTACTTTATTATGGAAAAAAAAATGTCGTACTTTATTTTGTCTTCAGAGTGAAATTGGCTACCGAATGCTATTTTTGTGTGAAAATTCTCGATTTTATTTTTTTATTTTTAACTTTATAATGCTATAACTTATTGAAAAGTGTATGGATCAACATAATTTTTTTATGAGAAATAATAATTTTTAATAATCCTTTTTTCATTCAATATACTTTACCTGAATCAGGATATTAATAACGAACTAGCAGATCATGTTGCTTTTGGAATAATCCACCTATTTTTTAAAATTAAACACTATCTAAAGATTTGCATCGAAGCGTTTTTTATGATAGTGATTTTAATCACTGTCAGATATCATTATACTTGATCCAAATATGTCACGTCACCACTGTGTCGTGACCCCCCTGTGCTGGGTTTTTTTAAATATTTTTATCATAAAATCACATAGAAAGGGATTTCTCAAGTTTTATTATAAATAATTCAATAAATAAATACTTTTATTTTATACTTTTACTTTTCTTAAAAATTATATCATTTAGTTTTGTTTTAAATTAAAGTATATATATTAGATTATATGATGAACTTTTATTATAAGTTCCAATTAAAAAAGTTAAATGAATGAATTAAAACAATTATCCTTAAAAAATTGTTTAATTTTCTTTACTACTTTTAAATTAATTATTAATTTGAAAAATTATGATTATATATAAGCACTATCTAAGAAGAAATTACAAGGGTACTCTAATAGTTTATAAATTTATAAAAATTACCTTCATTTTCATAATTTATTTCATTCATCATTTCTAACTCTTCTGCGTGCATCATTTCAAATTCTTCATCTGGGTCTAAGTACGATGCCATTTTCAATTGCAAAAGTTAAATTTTAAATATATACTAACATGTAAACCAAAATAAATTATTAAAAAATTCTACTTATTTATATTTAACAGAATGTAATATAAATATTTTATATTATTTTTTATTTATATTAGAAGTTATGTAATACAAGTAAAAAACAACACTTAAAATAATAACATTATTATTTATAAGTCACTGAAAATAACTACCTTAATATAATATTACTCATACTTTTTAACACTCCTCTAAGTATAGAAGATATCTTATCAAGTTGATACAGATTATTTCCATGTTTAGTCAAACAATTCTATTTATCAGAATGAATTGGCGGGAAACTTTATAATAAATTCAATTCTACAAGTGTTGATAAAATTTAAACCAATCATCTATCAATTCTTTATTATCTACGCTTATAACTAAGTTATCTGCATACATGTTAACGTTATCTTTGAATATGATTTAAGCCAATTAGAATTTATAACAGAACCTTGAATCAATTATTATTAATTTTATCGTAGATAAGATTCCTAAGTAAATCGATTATGAAAATATTGCTCAAGCAATTATGTAATTAATAATTTTTTCAAAATAATTTGTTTCATATATAAATGAATTGTATCTAACTCAATGTAATATTTTTTTATTTGATAGTTAGAATTAATAAATAACTATAAATTAGTATTTTTTATACTTGCACCTATTAATAATTGTGATATTTTGTAATCGATGATTTTCCTTAAGTAATCGGATATTATACACATCTTATAATAATGAAGAGGCTTATTGCTAAATTAGTGTTTATGGGCTCACAAGGTATTTTTAAACATTTAATGTTTTGAAATTATTCATTATTCACTGAGTAACTTTCTTATAAATCTTTTAATGATTAATAAAATGTATTCAGAAGTTTAATTTGTTCAGATAGACTCATCTTAATAATTTATTTTATTTGAGTAGGAGTAGGAAAATCAAGCATTATTACTAGATATATTAAAGGAGATTACAAAATGGATTCTGAAGCTACTATCGGTGCATCATTTATGTATGCCAAAGTAATGATTCGAGACTATCAAATAACATTAAAAGTAAAAACTATAACTTTTTTTTATAATTAATTAATTAATGTTATCTATATAATTTTGGTATTATAATGGTAAGTTTAGGTTTGGGATACGGCTGGACAAGAACGTTTTCGGAGTTTAGTTCCAATGTACTACAGGAATGCAGATGCTGTAGCAATTATTTTTGATGTATCTGATAGAGAGTCATATGAACAAGTCAAATATTGGATTAATGGTATATTAACTAGTATTTTCTAATAATTATTATTTAATATTTAAAAATATTACAGTTAAATAGTATAAATTCTCTACCATCTAGTAACTAATAATTACGTTACTCTTCAATTTTTATTATACATAAACTATACTTTTAATTAGCAAATAATTTTGTATTACCTAATTTTACATATCATAATAAAAAAAAATTATTTCATTTTAGAAGTTAGAAAAAATACAGATACACCAGTTGTGTATTATGTTGTTGGTAACAAAACAGATTTAGCAGAATCAAGAAAAGTTACATATGAAGAGGCTAAAGAATTTTCTAATTATGTAAATGCATACTATTGGGAAACAAGTGCTCAAGCTAATATAGGTGAGTAATATAAACAAATTAATGATGTAAGTACTAGAGTTGCAATATGACAAATACTATTTATGTTTGTATCTGAGGTTTGCTTCATAAGTAAAATATAATTAGTTATATGTATTATAAACTACTAGGTATTCAAGATTTATTTACTAATGTTGGAAGAAATTTAATAGAAATAGTGGAGAGTGAAAAACCACCATCAAATTTAAAACTTGAAGTTGATCCTGAAGATTTACAGAACACTAATAAAAACAATTCAAATACTAGTTGTTGCAGAATTTAATTATTTGATTGTAACTATTGTGTATCATATATTACTAAATAAATATTTATATTTTTATTGAATTATGAATCATATAGCTTGAAAAATCTTAAAAGTATAATTATTTCGTTAATTTTTTTTTAAGTTTAAAAATGTTATAAGGACAAATATTTATTAGTAAATTACTTATATATCAAGAAATATTGTAACAATTTTATAAGATTTTTAATTAATTGTTAAAAATTCAAATATATAAATTTGTTAGATAAAACTTAATGTAACCTCATGAGTATATTTTTTTTTATTTAAAAAATAATGGTTCATTATAATTGTTTTTGAATTATTGGCCATCCAGGAAGAATGAACATATTTTTATGATAATATAACCAAAAATGGACAAGATAATGGAAATAATTAACTCAAGTTTGGTTTAGTATGATCAATGTCGATTAATTAACAGTTATAAGTTAACAAATTATAAATTTAACTAGCTAAGTTAAAAGATAAGTTGACAAGTTAAGTTTTTTAACTTCAATAGTTAAAAAAATTTTTATTTCATTTAAAATTAATTCTTTGGCTAAAATTTCTTAAAATTATTTTTTATTAATCGGTGATGCAAAAGAAAGCTAAAAATCGATTTTCAACTTTTAAAACTGAAAAGGAAAAAATATTAATGATAACAAAAAGTTTTTTGCATTTTTATGTTGATAACCTTGTTTTATCTTGAAAACTTGTTAATGAAACAAAAATCACATACATTTTTAAACAAATTCAGAAAATTGTATTTATTGTTATATAAATATAATATTTAAGATAGGGAAAAATTCGTTTTTTTTTTAAATTTAAACTATGTACGCAGCATATAAAGACATACATTTTTTATGAAATTGAATAAGTTAAGTTAAAAAGTTTATAAGAAAAATAATTAACCAGCTAATTTGAAAAGTTAAAAAAAAAAACTTTTCAACTAGTTAATTTTATATCTTAAAGAAACATCTTACTTCTGAAGCAGTTTATCTAATATATAATATTAATTTAATGTTTGATTTTTATCATTTTTAAAGACAATAACCTAATTTTTACTTAAAATAGTATTTCATGTTAAAAATAAAATTTCAAAAATAAGTTGTTTGTAAATTTATATAATAATTTATTTTATAAAACAAATAAATAATAAAAATACGAACATTTATTAATATACGTTAATTTGAATACTGTAAAAGATCCCAACTTTTTTTATTTAATTGGAGAATAATTATCTTCTGGGAAGTTTCTTTTTAAAAATTTATAATTTATATATATTGTAGTGAGAAAAAATATCATGTCCCTTATTCACATTCAAGATTTAATTATAAATAATAGGTTGTATGCATCCACTGCTTATTTTGTTTAATATTGTCATGTATTTTATGTATGCCTCCTTATTTCTCTTGCTATCTATTTTGCCTATATTTTAATAATTTTATATTACTTAGTTTTATTTGTCTGCTTACTTTAAAACGTGTGGGAAGTAATTTTACTCGCTGATAAAATTCTAAAAATGTGTAGAGCAAATATTTATCTTAATATATTTTTAGAATTTCATGTTACATTAATTTAATTTTGATTTACATTTTAAAATGCCCTCTCCAACTTAGAAATGTATTTTGTATTCGCGCTTGACCATAGCAGATAACAAAATATAACTCAAAGAAAATTGTGTTACTTATAGAATAAGATAACGTTTAGTTTATCTTTTATAAAAGAATTTGAACAATGTTGATATTCAGAAAATTAAAAACTTAAAATGAAATTTACCAAAAAACTATTTTAATTTATCTTTATGGACAATACTCAATTTAAATAGCTTCAAAGTGAAGAAATGATAAAAATTAAAGATGAGTCGTTCGCGAACGAACTGATCGCAATGAATGGGTCAAAATAGTGAACGAAATGATTCAGATCGCCGAACCGTAGTCGTCCGGATCTCCCAAAAACTAATTTTTTCCCGTATAAATCACACTGAACCGATTCGATCGCTTACCAAATATCAATGATAACATATTCATATGTCATTTGTTTATACGACACATCCCTAATCCGAATCGCGAATCATACATGCGTTTCGCGAATCGAGAACCGCAAAAGAATCAAAACTATATTGAATGTTCAATTCAATTGACTCAAAATATCTTTTAGATCTTTGAACCGGATCTTCTAGTTGACCTGATTCGAATGAATCGGATCACTTAGGTGAACCATAATTCCCATCTCTAATAAAAATTAACTGAAATGGGAATTTATTTCTCGATAGTATATTTGTGTACTAAATCGATTATTGTCGATAGTAAGTTACTTTCAAGTACGTTGCCGTCGAAAGTTATAATTATTGATAATGCTATCAATAATATCCCATCAATTCAAACAATGGAGTGAGATGGATTTAGCAAAAACGTACTAGGTCAAGTAATTAACCTTAGTTGATTAACCCATGTAAGAAACTATAAAAAACTAGGTTTTAAATTAAAAATTTATTAGCATGTTTTCCTTTAATATTTTGACATGCGGAAATGAAATAATATCTAAAAATTATGTTATTGTATTAATAGTAAAAAACTTGGATTTTAAGATATAAGTTATTGTAATAAATAAAGAAACGTAATAACTTATTTTATTGAATTAAAAATAAAATAACTGTGACTAAAGACTTACTTGCGATTTACGCTTGGCAACATTATTTTTATGCTTCTCAAACTTTTAATTAATCTGATTTTAATTTAGAAAAAAATAATTTATTTATATAATATACCTATTAAAATCTTTTTTTGAAACAAATGCCCGTTTTGTCCCTTTAATATAAGTTTTAAATGTATCAGTTATTAAAAACCAAATCAAGTCAAGGTTTGAATTTTTGCCTTTTTGCTCTACCTAGTTACAGCAAACAGCCGTATGCTATGAGCGCAACTTATACGGATATATTAATTATAAGGTTAATATTCAATTTTATTTTCGGGTAGTATTTTGGCATAAAATACTTTTTTTATTTTAGGGTGCACTCGAATTTATGAATAAATACCTTTCAACATACGTAGGTATTATTTTTCTAGGGTTACGTTAAATAAGTCAAATGTTAGTAGATATACGCCGTATACCCCTAAAACACCACTGGGTAATCCATAATATAATTGATATAAATCACATATAATTAATGATTTATTTTCTAAGATGCGAGTTTTTAATTCATTATATATATATTTAAATTAAAGCATCAAATTACCTGAAAAATATTTAAATTTTACAACTAGAAAAAGTCCTTAAGTAAATTAGTTCGTATGATAAAGTAACAGATAAATTTACCGTACATATTCATAATTTACGTAAATTTTCTTAAATTTTGTCTAATTACTGGAATAAAATCTGTAAAGAATTATTTGTTCTACATAGCATTAATATAACTATTGTTATTACTTTACTTACATTAGTATAAAATAAGATATTTTTTTATTTTAATTTATTAATCCAATCAAAATTTAGTATTACCAATTAATAAAAACTGTATTATTTTCGTTTTATAAACTAAAAATATAATTTATCATTTTGTTTTCAAAAAAAATTATTTGTGTCCTTGATAGTTACTGAAATGAGCATATCATTACTTATTCAAAAAATAAGATAGCATGTTTAGTATTTAATGAAGTAATACGTATTTGAATATTTATGAACTGAATTGTAGATTTTAAGTGCCTAAAGTTTTTAATTGCATTCCGTACATATAGTTGTTAAATATAATTGAAATAGGCACTATATTCTCCTACAGAATTGTTATCTTAATTTTTACACTTGTGTCATTAAATTAATTATAATAAAGGTAAGATAACCTTTTGAGGTAATGTGGTTGATTGTAATAGTTCATAATTTTATGATGTAGGTTAACCAACATTTAACTGAGTATATTATTGTTCATTTTTTTCAAGTGACTTTACTTATTCATATTTGTTTTAAATTTATTTTCTAATTTTTTTCAGTTATCGCTTATCATGGCTTTAAGCAGTAATGTTGACAATGATAATTTGACATGTGTACTCTACGGCATTAGAGATCTTCGTCTTGTAAGTTGTAGATATTTTTGTGTTTTATTATTCTTCAATTTCATCAAATATCTAAAACTGAAATATAAATGTGGCCAAATCTCGTATCGATACCTTTTCCAAAAGAAATAACTATGATCTGAAAAGTTAATATTAATTACTTATTTTCAATAATAGACATAGAAATAGTAGCTGTTGAAATACATACCATAAAGCGATAAAATTTCAAATTAAACTTTTACATCAATTCAACTAAATATTTATTTTGTAATTATTCATTTTGTTTTAACTTTTAATTAAAAATTTTATTTTTTTATAAAGTCAAAAACTATTAAAAAATAAGTAATATTTAAATATATTTGGATAACTTAAAAGTTTAAGTTTGTATTTAGATATTTTTGCTTTTAATAAATTAAGATTAATTTGAATTTTTCAATCATTCATAAATTAGCAAGACAACTTCATTTTAATACATTCTTTTTATTTAAATTTAAACTCTTGGTGAGCACAAACTACAGTAATTAGAAAGCTCTATACTTTTTGAGTGTACTATTTCTATTACTATGAAAATTATAAAAATGTACGTGTAGGTGTTCAGGGAGGAAATTGGTTTCTATTGTTCTCATTGTTTGTTTTAATATTGCCTTATATTATAGACATTTTTGTAGGAGGAATATGGGAGATGAATCACATATAATGAAGTAAATATATAGGGAAGATTTAGAATTAGAATAATTTATAAAAGATAGTAAGAATATTTCTTATGCATATCCTCCCGAAGATAAACTAAGAATGCCAGTGTACCACTTCATTTTTTAAAATAGTTATTTTCTTATTAAACACAGTATCATACAATAATAGAAGGTCATCTATTTATGATACNTATAATAATAAAAGGTCATCTATTTATGATAATCCACTCAATTACTTATAAAATAAAAATTATGTTTATAACTTTTAGGAATACTTTTGACTTTTTCTACTTGCATATATTTTTTATCATATTGATAATTCAATTCTTCATGCTTAGGTATAAAAATATTAATAACTTGCAAATTAATTGACCATTTGTTAATTGTAATATTTAAATAGTCAGTTTATAATGTGTTTTATTAGGAACAACGTCCTATTCCTCAACCTGGTGAAAATGGTAAGATAATAATTGTGTTATTTAGATACAGACTTAACTTAAAATATGTATTATTTACCTGTAGAAGTATTATTAAAAATTCAGTGTGTTGGAATTTGTGGTTCAGATGTCCATTATTTAGTACATGGTAATATTGGTAATTTTATTGTTAAAGAACCGATGGTTATTGGACATGAAGCTAGTGGCATTGTTATTAAAACTGGAAAAGGTGTCACAAATCTTAAAGTTGGTATGAAAAATATATTATGCTTAAATAAAACAGGATAACAATTATATTACTGTTTATAATATTTAGGTCAATTATAAATGGACATTCGAAATGATTAAGAATCTGATTTCAGATTTTTCCTATCGCATCTAATTCATGAGATATTACTAGTTTATAATATTCATTAATTAAACAATTAAATCATTACAAAAAATTGAAAAATAATTTTTTATATTTTTAATTTTTCTAATAAAATTTTATGATGTTAAAAAAGTTGTACAAAATTTGTAACTTATTTGTCAATTTAACCATTTTTATATATTATAATTTCCAAAATACTTTTTTTTATAATTTAGTAACTCAGTCTCATATGCCTAATAGAAAAGCCTTAGATTTTGCACAACTCTTTTTTAACATAATTAAATTATATTAGAAAATTTATAAATATAAACATTTTTTTCAGTTTTTGTAATGATTTAATTGTTTAAATAATAAATATTTATTAATTAGTAATTAACTGGTAAACTAGATGTGATGGTCAAAATCTGAAGTGAGATTCATAATCATTTTGAATATCCATATATAATTCATTTAATTATTGTAAACAAGAAAAAAATGTTCAATATTTATTAACCTGTGTAATAAGTTAAGTATATTATTTAAATGAAAGTATTTTTAAGGTAAAGATTCTTATGTTATTTATTTATTTTATTCAGGGGATAGAGTAGCTATTGAACCAGGAGTTTCATGTAGAAAATGTTCATTTTGTAAAACAGGTAAATATAATTTATGTCCTGATATGCAATTTTGTGCAACTCCACCTTTTGATGGTAATTTGACACGGTATTATGTCCATGCTGCTGATTTTTGTTATAAGTAAGATATATCAAAATTAGTATTTTAACAATTTAAAATTTTAATTTAATAGCATGCTAAATGTTTTTTTTTTACATTAATCACGATTGAAAACTTCTGGGTATGCCTCTGATAGACCCAACCATAATTTAGAAAAATTTTTAAATAAAATAATTCATTTTTACATATTTATTTATACCTTCTGTACTTGTATTATAATGGACTGTCAATTTTTTTGTAGTAATCTCATAATCTATTTTGTAAAATATTAAACTAATTAAAATATTTCAGGTTACCAGATTGTATGACTTTAGAAGAAGGAGCACTACTTGAACCTCTTTCAGTTGGAGTTCATGCCTGTAAGAAAGCAAATATAACAGTTGGCTCTACAATTCTAATTTTGGGTGCTGGACCAATAGGATTGGCCACATTAGCAACAGCAAAAGCTATGGGAGCATCACATATTTATATTACTGATCTAACTGAATACAGATTAAATTTAGCTAGAGAAATGGGTGCCTCAAAAACAATTTTAATAAAAAGAAGTTTTTCAGATGAAGAAGCTATAAGTCATGTAAAAAATGGAATGGATCATAAATTACCTGATGTAACCTTAGACTGTAGTGGATTTCAACAAACTATGAAAATGGGAATAGAGGTATTGTTTACTTATAATAAAGTGTTATTACTATTGTTTTCAAATAAAAAAACTCATCATTAAAATAGTACTGAAGTTTAAGGATTTTAAGCTGTAATACTGATTCATTTATTATACACTGGAACAAAATTATCTGAAAATGTGCTTTTTTAAATTGTGTTCTTATACAGTATAATAAATACAAGCTAAATAATTTTTTTTTAAGCTCATTTTTCCTTGAGTTGATTGACTCTATAAGTATTTTATTTTATGTCAAAGTATAAATTGAATTATTCAAAACATTTGACACTTTTTAGTTCTTTTTATAATTACCTTAATATATCTTTACAAAATATTTTTATTTTTTTTGTTATTAATAAATACTGTTATCAGTAAAAATATTTGTCTAAAGAAATATCAGGTAGATAGAAATTTTTATAACTTTACGTTTAGATAAATATTAAGAGTAAGGAGATTATATAGCATATTAAAAAAAAAAATTTGCATTTTTTAATCAATATTTCTTACTGAATTAATGTTATATTTTATTAAAATTAATAATAATATATGTTTTATAATAGATCACTAAGTCTGGCGGAATATTAGTAATTGTTGGAATGGGAGCATCTGGAAATGTTCAATTGCCTTTATTTAATGCTTTGTCTCGTGAAGTAGATATCAAAGGAGTATTTCGATATGCTAATGAGTATAAAAAATATAAATAAACAACCTGAAAACTTTGATATTTTTTAAATCGTAAAATTCTTTATAGCTATCCAAATGCTTTAGAAATGGTGGCTTCGAAAAGTGTCAATTTAAAACCATTAATTACTCATCATTTTAAGTTGGAAAATTCATTGGAAGCTTTTAAGACTGCTGAAACTGGAGAAGGAGGTGCCATTAAAGTCATGATTCATTGTGATTAATATACTTGATTTTCTAGAAAATATATTTTTATCTATACTAGTTTCTTTAATGGTTATGATGAATTAAAATTTGTCTTATAAATTTATTACAAAATATCATTAAGATAGTATATTTTTAGTTTAATTAATTATGAAGATCTAAAAAAGATAACACTGACTTTATCTCTTTGATTAAAAAAAATATATAATTCAATTTTGATAATGTAATGTATTTAAACTAAATGCATAACAAATTAATGGTAACAATCTTAAAAATGGTACTACAATAATTTTATAGGAATACTTAATGTTCTTTGAAGCCAAATTGCATGTTTCTTTATAAATGTTTCATTACCTTTTATAATAGATGTACATATTCTTCTTTCATTATTCATTAAAACTTCTTTTACAGAATCAGTACAATATGTATTTGCTAATAAATGACATAAAAATCTTCGATGATTCCAAAGAGCTTCATGACTATGATACATAACTATCAAATCTTCATTGAAATAGAGTTCATCTATTATTACTCCTAGTGCTTCATTAATACATTCATCTGATGGCTTCATAATTTTATGCTTTTCTTCAGGGTTAAAAAACCTAACAAGTGATTTTGAAAAATAAGACTTTAAATGTCTCAAACAACTTTTATCAGAAATAAAACATTTAAGAAGTCGTTGTCTATACTGCATACAACTATGATCAGATACATGTTCACGGCACCATTTTTTTGTGAAATCCCATTGGTGGACCATTATTTGAAAGTTTTTAAGGTTGAGTGACTTTTCAACAATCCAAAAACTATGATTCCATGCACTATAGTTACTAGCATATGCAGCAGCAGCTGACATAGTAACTGATAATTCATTCAATACTATGTCATTTGTTATAGAATCTACAAAAATTAAAATAAATAAAACATTTAATAAATATATCAAATTTGTCAAAATAAGTTTTTTACCATTTGATTGAATGTTTTTCAAAATCCATCTTCTATAAATAAAAATTTCTGCACATTTTGGTTTAAATGATAAAGAAAGACTAGAAAAATGTAATTCTGCATATAGTTCTAAAAATCCACTTAGAACAAGCTCTTTTCTCATATTCCAGAATGTAAAAACTTCAGGGTTTATTAATAATGCACAGGTAAGTAATGGAACGACATCATTTGGTTCTAAAACAATAGACAATTGAATATGGTTATAAAATTGAAATCATACTTTTTTTTTAATTTATTGAAATTATTTTGTCAAATGATATGTCATAAAAATAGGATGTGACAATCAAATAACAATTATTCCCCTCATTAAGTCCTACACTTTTTTCAATTTTAAGAGTTCCCTTGTAAGGCAATTTATGTTTAACTATGTTGTTACTTTATATGATTTCATAATCAATAGAGAGTTGGATTGGATAAAAACCCAAGTCAACTCAATAAAGTACTTCTCAAAAGATTGTTTCTTTAAAGAATAGCTAGATATTCATCAGTGTCAATGGGCTGAGGTGACAAGAAAAACTGCTGTCATTTTGATTAAAAAAATGTCAGAAAACAATAGCTGAATAAGATGTGTTGTCCAACCATTTTTGTAGATTCAAGTCACACAAAACAGTATAATTTTTATTATTCATTATTAGCTAAAGTTTTCTTTTATAATTTAACTATTGAAATCTACTATGAGTACCAAATTAAAATATTGATTGGATGAAATTATAAAANTGAGTACCAAATTAAAATATTGATTGGATGAAATTATAATAGATTTTTTCAACTATTTTAAAAATTGAATGATTTATCCTATCAAATGGTTTTATAGGTTTAATAACTATAAATTATTAACATATAGCAAAAATATTAATTTAAAAGTTGATAAACTAATAAAAATATAATTAATTTAAGTTATTCTTTTTTATATATTAAAATTTTTTACCAATTCTTTTTAACCGTTTCCTATGCAAAATGAGTCTTTGATAAACATATTGGTATACATGACGTACACACCATGTTTCAAGACCCAAACAATGTTCAACGTGTAAGACAGGAGACTTATTTTGACTTTCTGGTTGTATGACTAGATCAAATTCTTTTCTATAATAATAATAAAATTTTTAAATGAATGAGAAGTTAAAGTAACACCTCTAAATTCTTAGACACTTACAATTTTACATCTTTATTAACAATATTTTGAATTTCTGTCACAATTCTTAATGCAGCAGGAAAGTTATCGTCAACATCCATATTTATTAAATCAAGAACCGTAACGTTCTTTTACAGAAATTCAATTATAACCAAATGAGTGTTACACTTTATACTTAGACATTGCACAGATATTTATTGAAGTTTAATTTATAAAAATTGCTAAACACAAGAATTTCAACCTTAAAGTTTTTTAGTTTATTTAATGTGTTTATATGATACGGTTATCAGTCTAATTTGAATTTATATAGATACTAGAATATAATAATGTTATTACTAGATAGCAGTAGAGTAAATTAAATTAACGCGTCACAGCATGGAATAAGTTATTCAGTGAGCATTTCACATATGTTATGTTATTTATATTATNAATTGTGTACGGCGTGGTCTATCTATGTGTATTTAATCTATGATATTATTCTTTAACAAAAAAAAAAATATATAAAAAAACAGTATATTAGTTTGAGGTTGGAAACAATATATTGTAAAAAAGTATGGGTAATCTTAGTTCCTTTAACTCGCTTTTTCAAGAAATTGATAAAAAAAAACCCAGCACAGAGGAGTCCTGGCACAGTGGTGACGTAGCATAGTTAGATCATAGATTAAATACACATTAATTTTCTCTGTTGAAAATCTTAACTTATTACATAACAATTTCTCGCTACCGATTTGTCCACTGTCAAGATTTTTATAT